CTAGGCCTTGGAGAAGGTCCAGCTAGAGTGCTCCTTGGAAGTAAAGATGATGAAGCTTCATCTCACATTCTTCGGGAATGTTGCTAAGAAAGGCTATTCCTTGAAGAAGAATATGCTTGGCAAAGGAGAGGAAGACCCTCAGGAAGGTGGATTGACACAGTGACTGCAGCAATGGGCTCGAGTATGTCAGAGATTGTGAAGACTGCACAGGATAGGACAGGGTTCATTCAGATCCTATTGTTCATAGGGTCACTATGGATCATACTGGACAGTACCTAACAACAAACACCACCAAGCCACCACAGCTCTGATGGCTTAGTAGTAGAAGTTGTGCTGTAATACTAAAGGCCCATGCTTTGAAACTACCAGCTCCTCCGTGAGAGAAGGATGGGCAATTTATCCTATTAAATTTACTGCCTCTGAAAACCCGCTGGAGGATCAGCTATCAATGGGTTCTGACTCAATGGCACACAACAACAAAAAGAACAACAACAATCTTTGTGGAAACATGTCTCCAGATTGATCTTCCTTCTATAGAGAAAAAACTAAGACTAACATAAAAATCACAGGAAATAAAAGGAGAGTTTAAAAAGAATACAAGATTAACATATAAAAGCTCATATTTTTATACATCACCAACAAACTATACACATAGAGAAGTCTTCATTTATGACAGTTTTTAAAATAAATGATTATATAATGATACATAATTCTAGGGAAAATTAGAAAATATGGAAAAGTATTCAAAGTACTTCTGAAATTATTACCTTAACTAATAAGTTTATTTACACATTTTTAAAAAAAGTATACAATGTTTTTAGAACTAAAAGGCAAATTTACTGCTGTTGAGTCAGAAATGACTGATTGTCAGAATCCTTCCAGTGGATTTTTGAAGGCTGTAAATTGCATAGAAGGAGATAATTCATTGATAGGAAAATTCAGTATTATAATAATGTCAATTCTCCCCAAATTGATGTATAAATTTAATGCAAGTCTCCAAACTAAATCCTAACAGGGTCTTTCCTAAATTGTTTCAAGATCATTAAAAAATTTATATGAAAGAAAAAAGGGTCAGAAATAGCCAGAATTCTAGATAACAAAAATAGGTGAAAGAAATGTTTCTATTAAGTTCTAGTAATAAATGTGGTGTAAGTTCAAGTAGATAATTTGACCAATGGCATAGAAATAAAAGCCCAGGAACAGACCTACTTATGCTTGAATCTTTGGTTCTATAACAAAGATGGCACATGAGGTCATAGAAGAAATGAAGAGATTTTAAGAAAGACGTTACTCTCACACTTAAAAGTATGAAAATGGATTCCTGTTTCACACTAGATACAAAAGAAACTCCAGATGGATTAAGGATTTGCATATCATATGCCACTGTTGTAGAATGGGACTGTCCTTGGGGTTGGGGAGAGACTGAGTAAGATGGGTTCAATAATGTATACTGCACTGAAACAAAGGAGGGAGAAAACTGTTTACAAGAGATATATAACTAGGTATTTCTGTCATCACAGGAGACTAGAGCGAGGGCTACATGGTGGAGGGGACCTGGGGGAGGGTTAGTAAAACAATGAAAGAATCTTTTCTTTTACTTTTCCATAATTTTTGGACTCATGTACTTATAACTTGTTAGTCAAATTTGTGTCTTCTAGGTTGCAACACCCCCATGATACATCTTTAATGATATGAACATGTACGGCCAAGCACAATCAATAAGAGTACATCTAAATTCCAAAATCAATCTCCATAAAATCTATGTGTTTCCTACTGCCAAAGGGGCCCTTTAGAGTAGTGAGAGAAGATCTTCACCCTGAAACCTACAGCGTCCCTTTTCAGCAGGAAGTAGCTAAGAGAATACGCCATCCCCTTTTCCTTATGACTCAGGGTGAAGTCTCTCTCAGGGAGGAGTGATAGGGAATGGCAAAGGATACACTGACAAAGGAGATTAATCAGAACTGGCTTTGACAAGCCCTGTGGCATTTGGACAAGAACAAACTGGGAGGAGGGTAGAGAGAATAGTGCAACAAGGAATGAATGGAAACCCAAAATCTCTGTAAATGTTTATGAAAATTAATAAAATATAATTATAGGGGAAAAATGATTTGCATATCATAAACAATGTATTAAAATATCTACTAGGAAATGTTGGTTAACTATCTTTTTGAGCTTGAGCGTAGCAATTTCTGAAATAAAGCATTATTTCTTAAAAAGGAAAGACTGAACACTTGACCACGTTAAAAGTAAGATCTTTCGTTCATAAAAAAATACTTCTGGGAAGTGAAACAAATTATAGACTGGACAAATACATTTAAAATATACACAATCGACAAGGGACTAGTAACAAGACACCTCAGCACACCCAGACACATACATATAAAGCTCCCATAAACCAACAAGAACACGAGTATCCAATTGAAAACTGGGTAAAAACCACAACAAAAACATTCCATAAAAGAGGAACACATGGTTTCATATAACTTGAAATCAGGGAATGGCATCTCAGCATGACAATGTTGGTACCATTTTAGAGCCACTTGATTGGCAGAATTAAAAGGTGTTAAAGAGGCTGCAGTTCTGCGGACTCTGACATGCTCGGAGGACCTGTGAACCACTGTGGAAAGCAGAGGTCATATTTCTTAAAGTAGAGGCACACCCTGAGACCCAGCACCTCCACACCTAGACATTTAACTAAAAGAAAACTGATAACAGATATTTGTAAACACTGTTCATAATAGCACTTTTTTTTCTGTTCTACAACAGCAGAAACCTAGAAACCATCCCAAAGCATGAATGGGTGAGAAAGGAATATTTACTCAATAGAATACTATGAAGCAGTTAAAAGAATAAAACCCACACCTCAAGAAACTTAAGTAATACACTATGGATAAGTCTTAGTAATATAATGTTAGGTGAAAAAGAAAGAAGCCCAAAATATGAGACACTTTCTCTTTTCTTTTAAGTGAAATAAAATTGTGTCATCTTTTGGTAGAAACGTATGTCGACAACACAATACTCAACGGGAAACTGAGGCATAAAGAGCTGGGAGTCAGAGCGATGGGGACTCAGGGTTGGAAACAATGAGGCGGGGTTGGGTGTCTGTAAGGTTACATGCAGGTTCCTATCAAGGCCCTCGATGTATTAGGGATGATGAATTCTCAGGTGCTTATAATACCTACTAAAAGGAACCAGTGAATTGACCAACCAGAAGAGAGCTGTGCTGGGTCAGATGAGGAGAGTGTACCATGAAATAAAGACTATATTTAATCCAAATTGGTGCTTTTTGAAGTTCAAGAAAAACAAACAGAAATCAGTTTCAAGCTCAACTTGGTTATCTGTCATCTACCAGAACATACTCCTTCCTCTTCAGATGGCTAATTCTTCCTCAAACTTGCAGCTCAGCTCTGGCCTCACTTTCTACATGACACCGCTTTTTTCTCACTCCCTTTGGCTCTGGTGCTCACAGCACTGAGAACACTGCTTCCATTAAGCCCTCTCCAGGCTCTTAGCAAGAGTGTGCAAGGTTTGGTTGTTTTGTTTTTTTTTAATTGAAATTTTCATGAAAGTTTACAGAGACCTTAGATTTCCATTCATACCTTGTGCAAGGTTTTGATGTGTTGTACACAGGGTCGCTATGAGTTGGGGTCAACTTGATGGTACCTAACAACATAAAACCATGCTCCTGTGACCTCGTGGCCAGGTCTCTTTCCTGCAACAGAGGCTCCATTCTAGAATAACACTTTGTTCAGACCATCAGCCCTCTACCTCTTAGTGTCACTTTCACTACCCATAACCACCTTTCCTTTATCCTCTTGCTAATCCTGACATGTTTCAACTATTAATTCAAATGAGGGTTTTATTTCTGGTTGTTTCCCTCAATTCCCTGTCCGTTCATACTTCCTTCAAGTGTGCTTCCGCGTTTATCCCTTCCTGACTGAGCTTCTAGGCATCCTCACTGCCTTCTGCCCATCTCCACTCCTCAGGTCTCCACAGAAAGGCTCCAGCCTGGCAGCAGACTCCCTGAACCTGCTGCACTGGTCCTCTCAGAACACTGACCAGGCCCTTGCCTTTGCTTCTCCTGCAATGTGCCCCAAGGAGAGGTCACTGTTCCTCTTCTTGAGGCTCCTGTAAGATGGTCATCATTTCAGACTATGCTGGATGACCAACCTCAGCTTCCCACATGGATCAATCAGTTTTGTAGCTCTGGTACCCGGGACGGGATCTGGTACACAGTCAGTAGATTGTGCTGGGGGAAGGGTCATTTGCATTCTTTCAGGTGTCTTGTCACTGGATGGTCCTTGTCACAGCTTTTGGATGAAAGCAGACTTTTTCTTTTTTTAATTTTATTATTTTTTGGGCATTGTACAATCAAATCAGATCTGACTGGTACAGGAGGAGATTGTCCCTCCTCCAGCAGAGCATCTGGTGGATTAGAACCAGGCACATCTGGGATTGCAGTGCAGCTTCTTGCCACTGAAAGCAGACTTTTAAAAATGTTCTCCATCTTTCACTCTGTCAGGCTCCCTGAAGATAGTATGTTTGATGGATTGTGTCCCCTAAATTGCATGTGGGAATCCTGATCTCTGTTCATGTGGGTGTGATTCTGGCTGGAAAGTTGGGTTTCTTTGTTAGGTTACTATGCCATACCAGTGTAGGTTGTGTCTTAAACGGAATCTCTTTTAGAGTTATAAAAGACACAGAGGCACACATGTAGGGGAAGGCGGATACCATGTGAGGATCATCCAGGGAACCAAGGCAGGCGGGGGCTGCTGACAAGAAGGAACCAACACACCTGAGACCCGTATTGGACTTTTAGCCTCCACAACTGTGAGAAAATAAGTTTCTGTCCTTTAGAGCCAGCCACCCGGTGTGATGTTTTCGTTCCATCAACCCTACGGCAGTCTTGTGCTGGGCCTGTGGTTTCTGCTTACAGATGATGAGCTGGAATCTAGGCTCAGCAGACTCAGCAGGGCCCCGGCCCTGGAGTCCTCACTTACCGTGTTGAAGTATTCGACGCTGGTGGCTTCAAACGCCCTTGCCACAGCCTGGGTTGTGGCCACACAGGCCAGAGGGTGGCCGTTGCCGATGGGCTTGCCCATGGTGACAATGTCAGGGACAAAGTCTTCCCCCTGCAGCTGGAAGGCCCAAAAGTGCTTTCCCACACGACCAAAGCCAACTTGAATCTCATCGGCTACAAAGACCCCTCCGGCTCTGCGGATGTGCCTGTGGCAGAGGACAGAGGGCTTGACGGGGTTGTGGGAGGGACTGTGCCCAGAGGTGGAGATCCTGGGGCTCTGAGCCCTCGGTCTGTCACCCAGCGCAGTGGAGGAGGCACTGGCTTAATGGCTAGTCTCTGTCTCTTCAGGGGGGTTTTAAGAAAGATTCTGGTCAACAGGCCATGCTGAGGTTGGGGTCTGGGAAAAGGTTGGGAAATCCCATTAGTGTCCTTCCATCCTGAGGACAGTCCCACCAGCTACTCACTCAGCCACTCTGGGGAAGTAGCCCGCAGGGGGGATGATCTGCCCTCCCACACTGGGCAGAGACTCCGCAAAGAACGCTGCAATCTGTGGACGAGAGGGGACATGAGAGAGGCATGAGAGGGGCATGAGGGGGGCATGAGGGGGGCATGAGGAGGGGACGTGAGGGGGCGTGAGAAGGGCATGAGAAGGGACATGAGAGGGGCGAGGGGGGCATGAGAGGGGATATGAGAGGCAGCATGAAAGATGATATAGGGGGCAGGAGAGGAGGCGAGAAGCACACCTGGCTTCTCCATCCCTCAGGATAGAATTCTGCCTGCCTCCTTGAGTACTGCTCCTCTTTTCCAGTCCCCACTGCCTGGTGGTTCTCCTTCTGTGATTTCCCCAGAGATGATGCCCTCCCTCCTCCCATACATGCTGGGCCTCCTGGTAGACCTGCTTGGTTTTGCCTTGGAGTCTGGCTGCTGCCTCCTCCACCTGAGGATATGTCAGCCAAGAGGCCTCAACTCTGCACCGTCCTACGTCAATTCCTTCACAACTCGCTTTCCTGAGCCATGCTCTGTCTTGAAGGGAACTCAGAGGCCACTGCTGGGTGAGGGATGGGCAGGTGGGATAGGAAGCCTGTTTTTCTCCTTATTGTTACCAGAACTAATTCTCCTTTCATGTTTCCTATTATATAATTGAGTGAAGAGCATCTAAAACACAGAGGCCATCAGGGCCCAGTCCAGGTGGCCTTATTTTGGTCTCAATCGCCTCCAGGCTGCACAGCTGCCTTCCTTGACCATGTAGACTGCTTGCAGCTTGTCATTCCAACAGTGGAACTTTCTGGAAAGCCTCATTCATTTCCAGTGGCTTCCTGGTGTGACAGGTCTCCTGTCCCCCTACTTCATCTCCTCACACTACCCTGGTCATCAGTCACTTAGCTCGCAGCTTCCTCATGGTCATCTGCCTGATAAACACCCTCCACACAGCCCAAGGGAGCCTTCTAGAGCACAGCCCTGATTTATGACCCTTCCTCTCTAACCCACTCCACAGCTGCCCTTACCTTCAGGGGAGAGCTCAAGCCCACAGCACTTGGGGCCTGGAATTACCTGGGCCCTGCCTACCTCTCTGAGTTCCTCCTGACTCACTCAGGCTGGACCCCCACCTCCCATGGTTCTTCTCCTCTGGGCAAGGCCATCCACAGTCTACAGAGGACCCCTACCCTCTTCTATTCCCTGACCCCTGTGGTGTGGCTAACTCCTACTCACCTGTTACTATAAGATCAGGTAACAGCTCTGACATGGGTGGGATTGTGTCCCCTTCAAACATGTGCTGAATCCTAACCCTGTGGATATGATCTAGTGCAATGCAGTCCTCTTCCACAGTACAGTCAGATGAGGTCATGCCCATGTAGGGATGTGGCTCCAAAACGCAACCGCTTCCATGTTACAAAAGATAAAGACAACAATACGCACCCTTGGGGAGTAGACGCCACGTGAGACTTTGTCTACAAGCTAAGGAACTAAGGAGTGCCCAGGACAACTTACAAGGAAGGTCATGGCCAAGGCCTTGGACTTTCAGCTTCCAGATTGTTACTGTCATGTACCATACAATAGGAACCGACTCATAGCTAACGCTCCAGTGGGTTTTCAGAGGCAGTAAATCTCATGGGAGGAGAATTCCCTTTTTTCTCCCATGGGGCAGCTGTTGGAATTGAGTCAGATTGGTGAGAAGAAAAATATAAATTCTGTTCTTTATATCTGTTGCCAAGAACCTCTTTAAAGTGCTGAAAAGCAAGGATGTCTGTTTAGAGTCCCTGACGGCAGCCATGGTAATTCAGTTGCTTTAATTGCATGTGAAAGTTGGACAATAAATAAGAAGCCCAAGGAGTTGTTTCCTTAAAATGTGGTGTTTGTGAAGAATATTGAATATACCAAGACTGCCACAAGAAGAAACAAATCTATCTTGGACTATTCCTTAGAGGTGGGCATGGTGAGACTTTTCTCTCACATATTTTGGGCTTGTCAGGAAGGGTCAGTCTCTGGAAAAGGACACCATGCTTGGAAAAGTGGAGGGTCAGTGAAGGAGAGGAAGATCCTCAATGAGATGGATTTGATTCAGGAACCACAAAATGGGCCGAGGCACAGCAGAGACTGTGAGCATAGCTCAGGACTGAGTCTGTTGTCCGTGGACTCGCTGTGAGTCGGAGGGATCGCAAGAGTATCTAATAACAACAAAGCCACCCTCTTGTGGCAATTCTGTTACAGAAGCTCTAGGAAACTAAGACAAGCTCCTCCAAAGATCCTTCCTTTCCACCTCCCCTGGCCAGCCCAAGTTAGACCTCCAGGTCCCTCATCACAGCTGGGATGTAGCACTCATGCCTTCATTTGTGCACTGAAACTGAGCGTGTTAATTCCCACTCAAGAGCAGAGCCTGACCTGCCTCCCTCTCAGCTACTGGCATCCTGCACACAGAGGGAGGGAGGTCCGTTGTCAGCAGGGATCAGCAGGTTTGGGAAGCATTTACCTTTCGGCCCTTCTCCTGGGCATCGCTGATCACATGCTCCACATCCCTGGCGTAGGCCTCTGCAGGGTTGGGGTGGTCCTCCCGGTAGGGGCCCCGATAGGTATCTGGGAGTGGTGCCTGTGGGGAATGACAGTGCCACATCACCAAGTGTGGAGCTGAGCCTCGACCTGTTGCTGACGTAAGCAGTACATACCACATGGACCCACTCCTTCTGGCCGTCCAGGTTCCGGAACTTGTAGGGGCTGATGTCGATCAGGGAGCTCAGGTGGCCATGGTACGCGCTGGGGAGGAGAGAAGGCGGCTTAGGCCCAAGCAGCATGGACTCCCCAGCCTGCCTCAGAAGACATACAGGGAAGGTAGGCCCACCCTCAGGTTGGGAGCGAGCATGGAGTTGGGAGTTGGAAAGGATTCCTGGCAATGTCACCCCACTGGCTATGAAACAGACAATGGAGAATGGGGATCATCACTCAGCTATTTTGGGTCCAGCCTTCTCCTTCAGGCTCCCTTTAAGACAGTGTTTGATCATATTCAGAGTCTGGCCCTGGGCCTTGTGCACCTGAGATTCATTAGAAGGGTGAGAAGGACATCATGCTTGGAGCGGTGGAGGGACGGCGCAGGAGAGGGAGACCCCGGATGAGATGGATTGACACAGTAACTGGGATAACGGGGATAGGTGTGTTGGAGTCAGTGAGACGGGCTCAGGACCGGGCAGGCTTCAGAGCTGCTGTACACAGGGTTGCTTTGAGTAGCAGGTGACTCAATGGCACATAACAACAAGAAGACTGTTGAGACCCACCACCCTTTGGTCAGTCTGTCACCCTGTGGCCTGCAGTTTGGTCTGGTGCCAGAAGCTATGCTGCACCTATCACAAACTACCAGCAGGGTGGCCATGGCAGAGTTTGGCAGAGCTTCCAGATTAGTAGGAGTCAGAAGAAAGGCCGATTCACTTCCTGAAAGTTAACCAATGAAAACAGGTTCACCATAGAATACTGTCTAGGTTGGAAGACCCTCAAAATGCACATTGGCTGCAGCAGACTTGAGCATGCCAGTGGTTCAGGGAGATGGTTCAGGACAGGATTACGCTGTTGAACACGAGGACTGGGTGAGTTGGCACCAACTCGATGGCACCTAACAACAATAGCTGTTAGGGCAGCTTTAATATCTTAAATGTTGTGGGACCTAATGGGCAAAGGCCAGATGAGCTCCTGGGGGGTATCAAGAACATTATCCACAAAGAATGCAAAAGGTCATTACAAAGACAGAAGAGGAAGAAAAGACCAAGATGGATGTCAGAAGACACTCTGAACACTGCACTAGAGCCGTAGTATGAGTATTAACCAATTAGAGCAAATGCTAGCAGTAATTATCGAGGATAGGCCAGTAATCTGCCTTAATTCACCTTTGTATTACCTCTAAAACCTAGAAACTGCAGGATATAGGTTAATTATACAGACACAGGCCTTTAACCCATGAGAGCCACTCATTCTTTGAAATATATTTACACAGTAACATGGTAAAAAAAAATTCACAACACACACACAAACAAATAAACCAGGGTATTTTGTCATTTCTTCTTAGTGTAGCTTATCACTTTGATTATTGTGTTGCTTTTTACTTTTTTGTTTCCTGGTTTATTTACAAAGTTTGAATACACTATTTTTCACACTGGGTCTTTCCCATTTCCTTCTTCCTCACCCCCATCAAATTGTGTGACCTTATGATTCACTTCCTCCCACCCTGTTCTCACCCCTCTGCTTCCACTCTCTGCCCCTTGAGTCCTCATACTCATTCTACAATAATGGTCTTTTATAGTATTTGTCTTTATGGAACTGAGTTAGTTTACTCAGCATAATGCTCTCCAGTCCCTCCCATGTTAGGTAGTAGTTTATAAAATCATTTCTCCTGCATGCTACATAGTATTCCATTGTGTGAATGTACCATAATTTCTCAATCCATTTGATTGTGCTTGGACATCTGGGCAGCTTCCATGTTTTTGCGATGTTGAATAATGCTGCTATAAACATTGGTGTACAAGTCTCCATTTGAGCCTCAGTTCTCATTTTCTCAAGGTATATTCCAAGCAGAGTACTAGCAGGATCATATGTAATTTCTATGTTCAGTTTTTTGAGGAAGTGCCAGACTGTCTTCCAGAGTGGTTGTATCATTTTACAATCCCACCAACAATGTACTGTGTTCTCTTAAACAACTATTTCATAAGGAACATATTAATAAGAGTAACCCAAGAAGATAAAAAGGAATTTTAGGAAGAAATGTATTGGTGTCAATGAAGGAGGAATAATGTGAAAAGGGAGAGTTAAACAGTTACACAATTTGAAAAATGTAATTAGCATCACTAAATTATTTGTGGTGATAGTGTTGAATCCGTGCATGTTTTATTACGCATCTATTTTTGATAATAACAAAAACAATAAAATTCCTTCCTTATTTAAAAGGAAAAAAAAAGTTGTGGGACAAACTTCTAGCACCTTAAAAGTCTAATCCCTGGGAGGAGACCCAGCAGGACTCTGGAAGAGCCTGTGGCCCCTCTGCTGCCTGCCAGCCCTCCTGGTCTCAGGCAGTCTACTATGTGTCAGCCTGGCCAGACTCTGGCGTTCAGTTGTTTGGTCAAACGACAATCTAGATGTGCGTCTGCCAACTGATGCATGTGTGTCCAAGCAGCACTGTGTTCCACAAGGTGTCCAGTGGCTGATTTTTCCCAAGGAGAGTGGCAGGCCTTTCTGAGGCACTTTGGGTGGGCACAACCAGTTTTTGTTATCAGCATAAACATTAACTGTTTGTACTACCCAAAGGCTGCAAGAAGAAATTAGAAAAGGTTAAAAGTCAGTTGGCCTTCACGACTCATAGCGACCCTATGTACGAAAGGCCTGGAGCCCCTCTACAACTACTGACATTTATCAAAGTTCATAGAGTTTCTGGAGGCATGTTGTTTAGGAAGTAGATGCCACTCCTGCTTCATAATACCCTCCATAAGATGAGTGAGCCTTATTGTTGAATGAGGCCTCAAGAGGAAAACAGTTTTTCCTAGGATGTATGTATTGCCATCTTGCTAAAATTGCTCCACTCTTCTAGTCACCTCATCTATGGATTTTGAGACCCAAGTATATAGGAGTACCCACAAACACATGAGCCGTTTCCTTCACATATGTAAACATCAGTCTCTCCTAAAACATACCCCCCTAAATATTTTCCTACTGAATTGATCCCAACTCGTGGTGACCCCGTGTGTTGCACAGCCAAGTGCATCACAGGGTTTTCTTGGCTGTGATTTTTATGGAAGCAGATAGTCAAGCCTTTCTTTTGGGGAGCTGCTGGATGGGTTTGGCCTGCCAGCCATTAGATCAGTAGGTGGGTGCAGTTTGCACCACCACTCAGGAGATTCTATCTATCTATCTATCTATCTATCTATCTATCTATCTATCTATCTATCTATCATCTAATCTCTATATCTATCTAATCTTACTGGGTTTTTTGGTCCAGAGGATCCTGACTATGAAATACTCAAAGTCTCACTCATCCCCAGTAAGCTCCAGGCCCAAGGCTTCCGGGAAGGGCTGTGAGCGGTACTTACTGGTCCAACACCACCACGTCCTGGTGTCCCGTGTACTGGCGGGCCAGCCGCAGGGCCAGGTCGTTGGCTTCTGACCTGTGGCAGAGAAAGGGGAGTGCTGCTCGCAGAGCTGTCTGAGGGCACAGGCAGGGCAGAGCCACAGGCCTGCTCCCCCTCCTCATGCCAGCTTCCCATGGAGACCTTCAACCAGCCAGATGGCGAGCAGGACGCCACTGCTCACTCAGTGGTTTATCAAACACGTTCTCTGCTGGGGCTAATGTAGTAAGGGAGACAGACTGGTCTTGTGTGTGCCTCAGAAGCAAAAATACAGAGAAAGAAAAGAATGATCAGGTTGGTAAGTGCTACTATGGAAACAGAGTGCTGAGAGAGAAGATGCCTGCTGATCCTCCTTTAAAATGGGGCCTGGAAGGTCCCTATGGGGGTGAACTTGCACTGAGTCCTGAGGGGGAAGGACCAGTCACTTAGAGAACTTTCCAGGCAGATGGAGCAGACGTGCCAAAGATCTGGGAAGGAAATGAGCTTGGTGTCAAGGAACAGAGAAAAAAACGGTGCGAGGAGGACAGGGTTGGGAGAAGCTGGGGGATATGTAGAGTGGCTAGGTTCCAGGGCCATGTGGTCCTCAGGAGCCTGGGCTGAATTTTCAGTATCACTTGGAAACTGCTGAAGTGTTTTAATCCAAGAAAGGACATGAGTAAATCCATTTCAGGAGGCAGCGCTGCCTGGTTGTCTAACTGAGCAGAAGGGTTTAAAGTGGATGAGGGTGTCTGGAGAGAACTGGGGGTGCTGTGGAGATGGGGATAGGTTTAAGAGATAGCTAGGCAAGGCTTGACAGCGTTGAGAGAGATGGGGGGGCTCCTGCCCGGGTGATGACATGGGAGCCATTTAGGAGGCCGTGTACAGTGATGGGGAGTGGGGGTCAGTCTTTATGGTCAGGGCTGGGATAGGTGTCTGAGATTAGTGGCAGGCAGCCAGCACCAATTGCCACACCAGGCCCTGGTGGAAGAGAAGAGCTCACTTCTGTATAAGATAAGCTGGAGTCATTTGTCAGATGTGAGGTGGGCAGTAAAAACATGAGTCTGGAACATGTAAGCGGCATCTAAGCTCGAGGCATAAATCTGAAGGGTCATCACAGTTTATAGATGATAGTTAGAGCCAGGGGAATGGAGGCGTGAGGCCACAGAGGGAGAAGGCTTGGGGAAGGAAATGGCACTGCACCAACCCTGAAGAATAATGGAGGAGGGGCCAGCAGAAGAACAAGAGAAGAGGCCAGAGAAGTTGGAGGGGCACTGGAAGCGTGAGGAGCACCTCCAGAGAAAGGGGCTCAGTCTGTTATAAAGAAGAGACAGAGTGACAGGGCAGCGAGGAGACCACTGGGTCTGGTGCCACGGAAGTCACTGTAACCCACACAAGCCAGCTCCATCTCACATACTTTGGACATGTGGCCAGGTCCTTGGAGAAGGACATCATGCTTGGAAGGGTGGAGGGACAGCGCAGGAGGGCAAGACCCCAGGTGAGATGGATTGACACAGTAACTGGGAAATGGAGGTAGATGTGTCAGTCACTGAGACTGGCTCAGCACATAGCAGGGTTCAGAACTATTGTACACAGGGTCTCTCTGAGTGGCAGGTGAGTCGACAGCACATAACAACAATCAATGCTAAGAAAGCACTGACTGGCTCCCGGCTCCCAGCTCCCTTCTCTTCTCAGAGAACCTGACAAGGAAACCAAGGGCCCTAGGTTCCCGTTCTGGCTCCATCCTCTCCTAGGTGGCTTGAACACGGGCACACTTATCTCCTGCTCTACAATATGAAGGTTAATTCCTGGAAACTACTAGGGGAAGAGGACTAATAAATATGCTGTGTAAGTGGCAACAGCAGTGGTGATAATCTTCACTATAAACATCAGGACCCTGGAGTTGTTGAAATGTTCTTATAGGCATGCTGGACTGGTCCTGAGCACACTTTATCTGCCCCTTTCTGTCTTTACTGCTCTGGAGCAAGCTACTATCTGTTTTACGGAGCCACTGATAGGTTCCTAAGTGTTCATTCTTGCACGCTTCAGCCGTTATCACATCACATCACATCACTTCCCTGACTATAATCCTTTAGTAGCTTCTCAGTGCTCTTAGGATAGAAACAAAGTCATTGCTTCCTGCTCGGAGTGTGCTATCCTTTCTAGTGTCAACCAAACTCTCCCCTTTCCCTTGCTGATTTCTTTCAGCTCCTCAAATGCACTGGCATCCTGTGTCCTTCCTTCCTGTGTCCTGTGATACAGGGCCTTTGCACAGGCTGCTTCTGTGGTGACTAGCCTTGACAAGACAATCTTTCTAGTGGAGTGGGCAGCACCGCCCTTCCTTCTTAGTCCTCTCCAGGACAGTTTTTAGCTTAGTGTAACTTTTTCCGAGATGTCTTCCCTGATCCCCTGAGGCTGATCTCACACGTGTCATTACACCCTACACTTTTTCTCCAATGATCTCATTCTGTAATTCTTTAGAGTCACTTGATGCTTCTTTCTGTTCCTCACTGAGCAATGTAAGGACAGACATTTGGGCTGTATCATTCAGATCATGCTGTGGATTCACGGGGCAAGAATCATGGCCTATATCACCTCATTAACCCTCAACAATGATCCCAATAAGCATCTGTGACTAAGGACGAAGAAACTGGGTACATCCTGTAACGTACCCGGGGACACAATTTGGCTGCATGTAAATCAGAGCCCGCTCCTCCCTGAAGTCCAGAGGGTCTGCTACTTTATGCTGAAGCCACACAAGCAACTCTCTTCTTCACTGTCACTCCCTCCTGTCCACTTACCCAGAATTCAGGAAATAGAAGACACACAGCTGCTCCGGCAGGGTCTCTGAAAGCTTCTGTGCATAATCGACGATGTTGTCGTGCAGGTACCGGCTGTTGGTATTGAGCATCTGGTTCTGTTCATGTGCCGCTTGGACCACAAGAGGGTGGCAGTGCCCAACTGGAAGAGGTCACTTAGTCACCTGGCCTGCCCTTTGGCCGGTTCCACTCCCCCAGGCTAATGTATAAACCTGTCCAGAGGAGACGTAGCTACGAAGGGAAGAAGAGGAAGATGGTGCAATGGGAGAGAGAAATGAGAGAGAGTGAGAGTGTGTGTGTGTGTGTGTGTGTGTGTGTGAGAGAGAGAGAGAGACAGACCAGTTTTGGAGATGGAGATCAAGGAAGGCAACACTGAGAACTATTAAGGAATTGATTTGCTAGCAGAAAACATCAGAGAGGCATTGTCTGGAAAACTATCTTTAAGGAGACTTCCTGAGGTCTTTCTTGTGGTAAGGACAAGGGATCTGTCAGTGAGCTTGACTTTATCACTGAGTGGGGGCTGGAGGTCATCCGGATTGCCAAAGGCCAAGGACAGTGACAACAGTGGGGATGTACTGAGAGCTTACAATGTATCAAAGCAAAAAAAGAATCAAGCAGCTGCCACCGTGTTGATTTCTTCTCATATTGACCCATGTGTGTTAGAACAGAATGTGCTCCATAGTTTCCAACAGATCACCAGGCCTATCTTCAGAGGCACTTCTAGACATGAGCCGTCAGCCTTTTGATGAGTAGCTGAGCCACTTTAACTGTGCAACCCAGGGATGACCATGTGTCCAGCAAGCACATTTGAAGTAAATTACATTCATTCACTTAATTCTTCAAAAGGGAGCTCTGATGGCTTAGTGGTAAGAAGATGCTCTGCAATCCTAAAAGTATGTGGTTTAAATCTATCAACTGCTCTGTAGAAGGATGGGCAATCTCCCTCTGCTTAACTGCCTCTGAAAACCCACTGGAGGGTCAGCTATGGACTGGTCTGAACAGATAGCACACACAACAATAACAATCCTTCAAAACACCAGAAGGTAGGTGGTGGTTGTTTATGTGCCACAGAGTCAGAACTTATCCATAACTGACCTTCCAGCGGGTTTTCTGAGGCAGCACACTTCACAGGAGCAGACTTCCCATGTTTCTCTTTGAATCCTGGTGGATTCAAATCGCATGCCTTTAGGTTGACAGCACAGCTCCTTACCTCTAGGGCACAAGAGCTTCCTCAAGGGTGGGTTATTGTTGGTTGGCAGGTGCTATGAAATTGAGTACAACCCATGGTGACCCTAAGAACAACAGGGCTGAACCTTGTCCTATTCTGTGCCATCCTCACTTCCCAACACATTAGAGCCCATTGCGACAATCACTGTATCAATCCACCTGGTTGAGGATCTGGAAGGGTTTTTGAAAGAAGGTAGGTATAAACTTATTATTATAGCTATCGTGTCTGTTTTGCAGATGAGCAGACTGATACAAAAAAATTAAGGAGCAAACTTAAGTAAAGAAAAAAGTGCAACAATGAATGAATGGAAATCCAAAATCTCTGTTCATTAATAAAATAAAAAAAATAATTAAGTAACCTGTTCAAGACCACAAAGCTTATAAGCAGAGGACAGGGATTTGAATCTATGCAGTCTAGGCTAGAGCATCTGCTTTTAGCTTCTTTCTTACCCTCTGCTTTGCCTACTGGGTCTTAGCTCCCTTTCATTCCATTGGCTTTGGTGATCCCATCTGAATGGCTGAATTCCTACTTCAGTTTGCTTGGCCAGCACCCGAGACTGTCCGTGGGGTGAAGTCTTTCCATGACTCCCATCCTCCTGGCCTGCACCCTGCTGGGTTGTTGGTCATGGCTGGGCCAACTTCTATCGAGCTTCCCAGGAGGCCCAAGCTGGACTGGAACCCCAGACTCAGGTTTCTGGGTTAAACATGACTGCCCTTGGAAACTTCTAACTTATAAACATTGGACCTCATTTGGCCATGAAAGCTAGCCCAATCCAACCTAGGTTCTCCACACCCCCCTGCAGCCCCAGGATACCCATGCACAGCCTTGACCACCTATCCTGTCTTTCTAGTCTGAGCACTGATACTGACCGTGAGCCACATTGTTGATACAATCGAGGTACTCTGCTCCTTGTTCATCATACATGTACTGTCCCTGGCCCCGGACGATCTTAACAGGATCCTCAGGGAAAAAGAGTCTGCAGGAAGAGCTGTGGGGACAGGCAAGGGGTGGATAACTTTACCTGAATACATGAAGGGAGAGGTCCATTCATCACAGGCCTCTCCAATCCCTTCCTAGTTTCTGGAAAAGATAAAAGCTTGAAAGGTGGTGCTGCCTTCCTGCTAGTCTCCCCACTTTCAAACTCATCCCCAAAACTAGTTGCCTTTGAGTTAGTTGACTCTGACATATAGCAAACTCATGTGCATCTGAGCACAACTGATGTACTCCAGGTTTTCAGTTGATAATTTTTCAGTAGGCCTTATTTCCCAGGTGCCTCTGGGTTGACTCCAAACCTCAACTTTTTAAGTTAATAATCTGAACCACTCAGGGACTCCTCTCTCCCGATAATCTACTACTGTCCAGTCACCTCCAACTCAAAATGGCCCCAAAGGACAGAGCAGAACTACCTATGGGGGTTCTAAGGCTGTAAATCCTTACTGAAGCTGACTGTCCCCTCTCTTTCCCACAGTGACTGATGGGCCAAACCACCAATCTTTTGATCAGCAGCCAAAGGCCTTACCCACAGTGCCACCAGACCTCTTGTTTCCTACCCATTACGTAGTTGGATAGAAGGAAAATGATGTTAAGAAATAATAAAACGGCGGGCTGCCCTCAGCCCCCGGCTCGGGGCGAGCCGTCACGGCCCTCTGCCCGGGGCGGGCCACCCTCAGCCCCCGGCTCAGGGTGAGCCGTCGCGGCCCTCAGGGTGAGCTCCTCAGTCCCCAGATGGTGCCATCTGACCCCTGGGTGGGGAAGGAGAAAAAAAAAAAGAATGCCTAGGGTATCCAGAGAATGTTACCTAGGCCACCTTCTGCCACCCTCCCCCCCCCCCCCCCCAGTAAACCTGAAAGCAACACCCTCAAAGCCCTTCTGTTTGTAACTCACAAGTTTGTTCTCTCTAGGTTTGCTCCCTTTGCTATAGGTAACCTTAACTCTGAGTCTTACTCCAGAATTGACCCTGAACCCAGTGCCAGTGACAAAAAGGAAATACAACTGACAGCTAAGGAAGCAAAGGAGGATGGAGCCTCTGGGTTCAACCAGCCATCCCTACTGGACCCACCTGGGAAAACAATTTGCAGTCCAGAGGGGAGCAAATGACAGGAAAATATCTTCCAACAGAGCAAGAAGGCAAGCAGCTGTAACCCAAGACCACCAGTAAGGTGATAAAGCGTCCTCCCTTCCCCCCTTTACATCTACGCCCCTGTTCAGCATGAAGAAGCCAGAGAGTCGGCATCCAATTCCCAAATCAATAAGACAGTTGGTTTAATTACTATTGGAAAATGCATATCATTCCTCTGTAGCATCTGGTCCCCACTGGACCCTCATCATTTCCTTCACCTGCTCCCCCCACCGACCAAACTGTGCAGCTCTTTAACTGCATCCTGGCCTATCCTCACCCTTCTGCCCCCAACCCTCACCTCCTTGTACCCCCAATATGTTTTTCCCAATAAAAAAATGTTAAAAAAATTAAAAAAAAATAATAAAACAAGAGAATTGCTTAAGTTATTTCAAGGCTAGCTGTTCTTGCTCATCTCTGCATGTACCCACGTTTGTCCTCTGGATTCAGGAAAGGTGGTTGTCCCTATGGGATGACAGGGTAGAAGGGTGAGGAGGAGGGCTCCTTAAGGTCATTTTCTTGCTGGGAGAGGGGGTGAGGCTGGATATCCACTCTGGGTTGCTAGCTCTCAGCCCTAACTTGTTCTTACCAGCCATGGTGCCCCGCTGCTTCTGCCTAGTGCCACTTCCAAGCTCTGGCCAGAAGCTGCTATGTTTTTCTGAAGGTTCCTCACATAAGTCAACTGTACTCTCTCTCTAAGGTTGGCTGTGTAAACTATCCGCCATCCTGGCCCTTTATCTGCCTTTTTTGCTCCTCGCTGGATCACTCTAAAGCTGCCCCTGGGTGAGGTCCTCCTAGGTGCCAGGATAAAGACTTTCTCTGGGGCAAAGGCTTCCTAATGAGGCTGCCAAGAGCTCAGTTGCAGGCGGCTCCAGAGCCGCAGGCCAGGCCGAGGAGCTCGCCCATAGGAGGGACTCTGGGGAGTGGCGGGGGACCAGGAGCCTGCAGGGTCCGGCTGCGCGCTGCTCTGCGAGGGTCAGGGGCGCCAAAGCCACCTGGGGCCGGGCTGAGCCGCGTGAACTCAGTGAGGTTGGCGCCATGCGTCGTGCGTGCCCCCCACGCCGCCCCCCGCCCGCCCTGGTACCCGATGAGCCGCCGCCTCAGGGCCAGAGTGTCGGCCTTCCCGCGCAGGTCCGCGGCCATGGCGCCAGGGCAGCAGCAGCGGTGCTCCGGGCGCAGAGAGGGCCGGCTTCGCGGCTCGGCGCCGAGGGCCCACCCGCCCCCACGCGCCCAGTCCCCGCCCCCTCCGCAGAGGGCATCTTGGGCCCGCCCACAAAGGGCCCCGCTTCACGTCGATTCTTGTACTCGTTGGACACGCAAACCTGGCCGGGGTCCCCCACCTGCGCCCAAGCCCTCGCATTCCTTGGTGATGGCCACATGGGACCCGGTTTGTGCACGCTGTGCCAGGTGCTGCACCGAGGGTCCCCGAGTGCCTGCCCTCTCCTGGGCTTAGTTCTCGCAGGCCTCGCCCAGCCTCTGACTTCCCCCTGCGTCAAATAGGATGCGCCGGGAGGATTAAATGGGAACGTGTGACACGCACCTATCCAGCCCAGGGCCTAGATCACCCCAATTCTGTGAAGGAGTAGCAGCGGGAAGGGCAGAGAGAGAACATAGGGCAACTTCTGATATTTACCAAGGAGAGAAGCATGGGCACAGACTTCACTGCTCGACCATGCACGCTGGATATATTATACTTGGAAAACTCAATTCTGTCACATCTGGGCGGACTGGAGGCTGACTCTCCAGCAGGTTTTCAAGGCTGTAAGTAGCAGAGGAGATTGCCCATCTTTCTCCTGCGGAGCTTTTGGTGGATTCCAGCTGCCAGTAGGGCGCCGCCTTTGGTTTAGAAGGGCAACTCCTTATCAGGTCAGAGCTCCTGTGCTAGACAATGGGCAAGGCAAAGGATCGCACTTTGATCAGGCAGAAGGAAGAGTTGGGAAGTGACTAAGGCCTTGTCAGTCCTACTGCATATGGGAGGAAAGTGAGACCCATAAAGGCGTTGCTCCCAAACAGAAAGGTGGCAACAGAGATGGACTTAGATCTGCCTGATTCTCAGGGCGGGAGGATGGGGTGGTGGAGTGAAGGAAAAGGACCTGGGAAGCTTCAGAGGCCCTGAGCGGTGCACAAGGGGCGTCCTGCCTTGATGAGCCTTAGAACCTGGGTCATGGGTGTAGACTGGGTGGGGAGGAACAGGAAGTTCTTCATTTTTTTTCTTCATTTTTTCTTTGCTTTACCTTTCCATGATTCCCAGCCCGCCCTCTGCTGCTCTCACTCCCTCCTTGCTGCTTCTTCCCACACCGTTTCTCTTAAAATTTAAAAATGTGATTAAAAGGCTTTTACCAGAGAAAAGACACTTATTTTCGTTGTAAAGCAGAACTGGATCTTTTATACTGTTCTTGAAAAAATATTCTCCCCCCAAATTAACTGAAAGGTTGCCGGTAACCTCTGCATCTTTCCTACGTCTCCTGCATGCCCTGCTCCTGTGTGAAACGTGAGTGTAATCAGGGTCAGCTCTCTCAGTTCATCAGTTCTCTCAGTGTGTCTGTGCCTCCTTTTAGGTAGAGAGATCCATAGATGCCTCTGATCTAGGAAGTTAGGCTCATAGAAGGAAAAGTCAAAAGAACCTGCTTACATTTCTAGATAATCAGAAGAGTTGTTGTTGTTATGTGCCGTCGAGTCGCTTGTGACTCATAGCGACCCTATGTACAACAGCCCTAAACTCTTCTCTGTCCTGTGCCAATCGCACTGTCTCTGACATACCCATCCCGATTACCCCAGTCACTGAATCAATCCATCTCATAGAGGGCCTTCCCCTCCTGCGCTGTCCCTCCACCCTCCCAAGCATGATTTCCTTCTCCAAGGACCAGTCTCTCCTCACATGTCCAAAGTATGTTAGATGGAACCTCAGAATCCTTGCCTCCAAGGAGCCACCCGGTTTAACCCTTTCCAGGATGAATCTGTTTGTTTTCCTAGCAGTCTAGTATTCTCAATACTCTTCTCCAGCACCACAGCTCAAAGGCATCAATTCTCCTTCTATCCTCCTTGGTCATTGTCTAACTCTCTGATGCATAATAAGTGATTGTGAAGACCGTGGCCTGTATCAAACGCACCTTAGTCTCCAGAGAGACACCATTGCTCTTCAGTACTTTGGAGAGGTTCCTAACAGCAGACTTTCCCATGGCAATGCGCCTTTTAATTTTCTGGCTACTGGCGCCAAGAGTGCCAAGAGTTGACTGTGGAGCCAAGGAAACTAAAGCTGTGTACAATCTCAATCTCTTCACCATCCATCCTGATGCTGCCAATTGGTCCAGTGGTGAGAATCTTTGTCTTCTTGACATTGAGCCTCAATCCATATAGTAGGCTGCAGTCCTTGACACTCTGCAGCAGGTGCTTCAGGTTCTCTTCAGTTAGGTTATCTTAATTTTTACTCAGGCATCCCAGGTGACACAGTAGAACTGTCTCATGGAGTCTTTTAGTCTGTGTTATGCAGATTTCACAACTTAGGTTGCCGAAACAGAGGAGAACTTGAAGCGTTTTCTGCAGAAGATCAAGGACTGCAGTCTTCAATATGGACTGAAGCTCAATATCAAAAGAATAAAGACTCTCAGGACAATTGGCAGCACCATGATAGTTGAAGAAGAGATTGAAATTGTTAACAAGTTCAACTTGCTTGGCTCCACAATTAAAACCCTTGGTCCTAGCAGTCAGGAAATCAAAAGCCAAGTTGCATTAGGAAAATCTGCCATCAGAGACCTCTCCAGAGTGCTGAAGAGCTAGGGTATTAGTCTAGAGACTAAGGTGAGCTTGATCCAGGCCATGATCTTTGCAGTTTTTTGCTATGTATCCAAGAAATGAACAATGACTAAGTATGACAGAAGAAGAATCGATAACTTTTGAGTTGTGGTGCTGGAGAAGAGTATCGAACATACCATGGACTGCCCAAAGAACAAACAGGTCTGTCATGGAAAGGGTGAAACCAAGTTTCTCTTGGGAGGGAAGGATTTTAAAGCTGTTTCATATATTTTGGGCACGTTGCCAGGAAGGACTAGTCCTTGAAGAAGGACATCATGCTTAGAAGGGTGGAGGGACAGCTCAGGAGAAGGCCCTGGATTAAATGGACATAGTAACTGGGGTCTTGGGTGTAGGTGTGTCACAGTCAGTGAGATCCGCTCAGGATAGGGCAGGCTTCAGAGCTATTGTGCATAGGGTTGCTATGAGTTCAGGCAACTCCATGCCAGATAACAGCATAGTAACAACATCACAATTTTTATGAAAGGATATCACTAGGTATTTATTTCTCCTGTGGAGACACTAAGTAGTTTCAAATCATCCATCTTTTTATTACAAGCCAAGAGTTTAACTGTTTCTGCCACCCAGAGACTGACTACTTGGCAGAGTTTCTCATTTTCATTGCCATTGAATGTGAAGTGACTCATAGCTGACCCTCTAGCTGGTTTTTGAGAGGCTGTAAATTGAGGGAGGTTGCCTACTTTCCTCCTGAGAAGCCACTGGTGGACTGGAACCACTAGACGGTCGCTCCCTGGGAATTACACCAACAACGCTAGGGCTTCATGCATATGCTTCTCTCTCTTTTGAAAAGGGATAGTTTGAAGAAAAGCTATCCTTCAAGGCAGAGAGACCAAGGTCTCCCTCAGCCCTTGAAGCACAACTGAGGCAGGATGCTCTGTAGTGTTTCAGCTGGGAATGTGATGTCACCCAGGGATCTGGGACATCTCAAGCCCTCTGAAGAGTCAACCAGCTTTAAACTTTGAAGTTTACGGGATCAAAGGTACAAGGTAATGCCACAAGGGGGCAACAATGGGCCAAGAATACCCACTTTCTGCCAAGAGGCAAAACGGAGTCCTTTGAGTCTCTTGGGTGTTCAGGAAGTGGGAGCACATGGCTGCTACTTTCAAAAGGTTCTATCTGGAAACCCAGTTTTGAGGGACCATCTAACGATTCTGTCCCTTGCCAAGTAATTTTGGTTAAAAAATTTTGTTAAAAAACTTAGAAAAGCAGGTGGGGTCCATTCCCTGGCTATGAATGATTATGGTAGGTGACCTTTCCCCATCTTGAAAATGTAAATAGTGGTCCTCACCATACTCCACCATTCACAGGGTGGTGAGGAGGTCCAATGAGGTATCTGGGTGGAAGGAGGAGTGATTGGCAAACAGTAAAGGATAGTGGATGTGCAAGGCTTAGGCTGGAATCCTTAGGAACTTTGACACCAAGTGAACCCCACCAAACACCACAGTCCCTCTGTTTTTCTTTCCTGTCATTCCAATGGCTTCCCTGGTGACTAGATACTTGGCCCAATAGCACCTTCAGGAGGCAGAGAAGAGATTTGACATATTTCTCCCTACTTATCGTGAAGTGGTATAGTCTGTAGGGATTAGTGTTGGGAGCCCAAGGTCAGTGTCTCTTTGACGGCTCTTACCCACCAGAGGTTCAGAGGTAGCAACCACTGACAATTGCTTCTCATGTTATTTACAGCCTCTGAAGGCTCATTGGAGGGTCAGCTATGAGTTGGCTCTGCTTTGCAGGCAATGAGTTTGGGTTTTACCCCTCCTTCGTTAGAGCCGGTATGTCCTGGCTTTCTTCCACTAGGAGGCTGCAGGAGTGTATGGGAACAGGGTGGGACTGTGCGCTGTGGTCCTCTTTCGGTCTCAGTCTTTGTAAAGAGAAGGACTGAAACACTGTCACTGCATGTCCCCCCTTAGCTCCTACTCCTTGAATGTGCTTTCGCTTAACCATCTGTGAAATGTGCACATTCACATTCACCCTATTCGAGTTGTTACTGAGACTCCCTGGGATGAAGGGTTGGAAATGCTCTAAAAGAGAGGAGACCAGAGTCATAGGAGCTTGAGACTCCTGATCTGGCCCAGGTTTTGGGCATACTTTGCTGCAGTGGATTGTCACCCAGTCAGAACTCAGTGGTAAATTTCGTCATCCCATTGACAGAGCAGGTGGCAGCATGAATAGTCTAAGATGGCTTCAGTAAGATCAACTCTCCCACGCTTTCTCCTCAAAAGATGATGTTGACATGTTCCCCACCAAGAGGTGTGGGTCTAGCCTGCTTCCCCGAGTCTGGGTGAAGCTCTGACTCTGGCGAGAAGTGACACCACATGACTTCTGAGGCTTGGCCATAAAACGTGGCACAGCTTTTGGCTGGCCCACTTGAGGCAGTTACCCGTGGGAATGCGCCTCCATGCCTCGAGGAAACCTAGCCATGTGGAGAGGTCGTGGGAAGTGCTCTGGCCATCTGAGGTCCAGCTGAAAGCCGGCATCAACCAACAGACATGGGAGCAAGGAAGCTTTGTGAAGTATCCAGCCCCAGCCATCTGCCTGCAGTCACGTGGGAGAGCTTAGGCAGGAACTACCAGCTGAGCCCATTAACCACCAGACAAATAGAAATGATTGCTGTTTATACAACAAATGTTGGAGTGACTTGTTATACAGCAGTCAGAAGTAATCAGATGAGTGCAGAGGCTCAGTGACGTGATGTGACGGGCCAAGGGACCCAGCTGGACATGGTAGAGGCAGGCCAGTGGTCTGTGTCTACCTAACCACAACCCTGATCTATTTCCTCCAGCTTCTGAGGTTAACCAGGGAGAGTTCCCTTTCTCCTTCTCAGCAATGGGCAGGCTGACACGGAGCTGGGCTGATCCCTCACTCAGGGCATTTGGGGACAGTTTGCAAGGTACACTCAGACACGTGTTTGTGGTTTATTACACGCCGTAACATCCAGGTAAACAAATGGGAGGTGAGACTTGAGGGTGGAGCTGGTGGCTGGGGACCCTTGTCCGAGGTGGGAAAGGTTCTTGTCCGAGTGCAGGTGGCCCAGGAGGCAGCCCCTCAGGCTGGCTGGGAGACTGGCACAGAAGTTTCCTTCATCAGCACAACTTATCAGGAGGGCTATTTCAGCAAGCAGCTGCCCAGGGTTCTCCCAGCTGCAAACCAGGGTCTACAGACACTGAATCCTCTAAGCAAGAGGCATGTGTCCTCAGGCCTGCAAAGTGCCCTCATATCCACGTCCTGGCTGGTGGGGGACAGAAGCAGGAACAGTAGTCTGTGTCCCTCCAACCTCTGCATTAGAGGGTCACTGGGGTCCTGCCATTAAGTCCATGTCCTGGTGAACATGATACTTGGCCACAACTCCTGGCCAGAGGATAAATGGTCTCAGCACAGGCTGGCTGCAAAGATCACTGACTAAGGTCACTGGTGATGCGAACCCACCAAGGGCAGCTTCCCATGGCCCTCCAGTGTCCAGCTACAAGCACTGACAGGAGTCTTGTCTGGCCCTGGTCCTGCTGGGGCTTGGGAGGCTGGTGGGTATGTAGCTGGCTATGGCTGAGTCTGGAGGTGGGAGAGGCCAGAGTGGCTACCACCAAGCCTTGTTCTTCAGGGGCAAGGTGGGGTGCTGGGGCTCCCAGGTGTCAGTAGCAGGTCCTGAAGGGCAGTGGGCAGCTGTGAGTCTTTCTTGTTGGGTGACCAAAGCCAGCTGGTGTGCTCATGTTTCTAGGTTCTCTGGAGTCAGGCACCATCACCAGCCTCTCCGCCCAGGGGAAGCCATGCTCCTGGCACCAGTCGTCCATGCTCCCGCCAGTGGCACAGGCCCATCTGTCCAGGCTGAGCTGGGCACCCTCTCCAATGTGAAAAGGCCACAGGTGACCACATCCCATGAAAAGTATCAATATATTACTGTTTTGTTTTTACAAAATTAAAAATGTCCACACGGATCTGTACAGGTTGTGAGGTGGGTGTTGGGGTCACTAGAAAATGAGAGAAAGATGGCGGTGAGGAGGGGAGTGAGGCCCTGGGACTGTTCCCTCCCTAGGCTCCTTTCCTGGCACCATTAGGCCCTCTTCTGATAGTGCAGCCCCAGCTCTGTCTTCCAGGCTCCTGACCTCATTTCTTCTCAGAAGCACAATTTGGACAAAGTCCTAGGATGTACCAGTGACCAGGCCCAGACTAAGCCTATAATGGCAGCCGGTCAGTCAGGAACAGCCCCTCAGGACTATAGCCCCATGCCTCAGGCCAGCAAGGACAAAGACGGATTATGCTGGAGATACCTGGTGGTCCAGATGTCAAACAGGGAGCTGAGACACTGAGAACTCTGAGTGATGGCACCCTCCCACCTCCACACACACCCCTCCTTTGAGCCCGAGCTACAGAGACTGAGGCCTGAAACCTACCTTATGCCAGCAGCCGGCTACCGGTAGCCCGTCAGGACCCTAGAAAGGAAGGAAGTGTCAGTTACTGGGCACAAGTTTGCCTTTTCTACACCCAGGCTCACACCCAGTAAGGTGAAGGGAGGATAAGAACTAGGGAACCAGCAGGTCTGGTGACTGGTCACTGGACTCCACTGAGACAGGACCCAAGTGGAAAGCCTGTCTCCTTCTGTCCATTAGAATCACGGAGTGGCTCCTACCTGCATGCCCAGTATGCTAAGTTGGTGTCTTGACTCAAGACACTTGTCCAGTGGGCAGAGACTCGCTGTGGAGTGATGGGCATCATGCCAGATGATCTAGGGCCAGAAAGTCGCCTGCAGACCCAGCAGCTCTGGCCCTCACCCCAGGGTCTGGAGCTGTGAGTCTAGGGACGCCACATCTCCCCATATCCCCAGCTTGTCCTGCCCCCAGTATCTGGCATCTAAGCAGCAGACCAGATGGACCAAAGTGGTCTGGATGTACATTGAACATGAGCTGAGGTGGCTGCCTGGGGACACTCTCTTAGCCAACAGCCCCAGCAGGAGGACTGGTGGGCTCAGGAAGCTTGGTGGTAGGGGTCTTCAGAGGGACAAGAACTCAGCCTAGAGTTTTTGCGGGATGCAGGGTGGAAAACACTCTGTTCCAGGACATACACAGCACTGGCCTCAAATCCATGGGAGCACCCCTCGGGGTCATATGCTATGGTTGCAGGTTGAGGTGGGATAGGAGAGGCAGATGGGAAGGGGAAGAAGAAGCAAGGAAGTATGAAAGCAGAAGAGTGGGCCCACCAGGCACAGTACAGCACAGCACAGCACACAGCACACAGCACACAGCACAGCACAGTACAACGCACAGCACAGCACAGAGCACAGAGCACAGTACATAGCACAGCACAGTACAACGCACAGCACAGCACAGAGCACAGTACACAGCACAGTACAACGCACAGCACAGCATAGCACAGCACAGTGCACAGCACACAACACACAGCACAGCACAGAGCACAGCACACAACATAGCACAGCACAGTGCACAGCACAGCACACAGCACACAGCACACAGCACAACAAAGAGCATAGCACATAGACTAGCATAGCACAACACACAGCACACAGCACAGCACAGTGCACAGTACAGTGCAGTACAGCACACAGCCCAGCCCAGCACACATACAGCACAGCACAGCACAGCACACATACAGTACAGTACAGTGCACAGTGCTCTGCACCCAGCACAGCACCCAACACCCAGAACGGCAGATGGCACAGTGCACAGTGCTCAGCACACAATAGCACACAGCACAGCACAGCACAGCACAGTACAGACCCTAGCACAGCACACAGCACAGCTCACAGTATAGCTCACAGCACAGCTCACAGCACAGCACACAGCAGGCAGATACCGTACTGCAGGGCAGGGCCCGCCGCCCCACGCCAGGCGCTGAGAGGCCAGTGCCCCTCGTTTGCCTCTGCATTTAGGATTGTCCTGTTTCAAAGACAAGAGCTTTTTGATATGAAGAGAGGTCCTGAACTAAGGCTTGGAGCGGTACAGCTGGGCCACACTGTTTTCTATTGTTGACCTATTTTGTGTGTGTTTATTATTCTGCTTTTTTTTTAATATATATATATATATATATATATATAACCTTTCTTTTTTCTCACTTAATCCCCAAAACAACTTGGGAAATACAGGCTACCTTACCCATTATATAGATGAGGAGACTGTGGAGTGGAGAGTGACAGGGACTTCTTGGGGTCACTCTTTTGGGTTCTCCCCTCTAGAAGCCTCTCTCCAATAAGCCTCATTGGGTGGCCTGGTGTGAACATTTGGTGGGCTTGATATGGGAACTCAGAGGTCTGCCTTTTTGTGTCCTTGCTGTGCTCTATAGAAGGGGTCTGATATCCTCACTGTCTGCTAGGAAATGGGACCGACTGCTGAGCCACCGGCCAGTCATGACGGAGCAAGACAGGTTCTGTGGAGGGGGTGAATGGGAGGAGGAGCAGGGCTGGCTGTTGGGCTACTGCAGACTAGAAAGAGACTTCTGTGGGAATGGAAGGAAAGAAAGGCTCCATGTCCCACCCGGGGAAGAAATAATGGCTCCACCCAGTTCATGAGTGTGGAAAATGAGTTTTGCCCTAATGTTGCCCAAGGTCAGAGAGAGTTTGGGTAGGGGGATTTTGGGCTGACAGGGTCTTCTCTGATCCCTCATTCACTGCTGGCTTTCCCTTTCCAGGACTGAGCCCTTCCCATGACCCCTGCATGTCCTGACTAGGCCATGGCAAACACTCTCTGGTGGAGGTCTAGCCTCTCCCTCCTCCCGGCCCAGCAGAACCCTCAGAGCAGGTAGCCTGGGCTAAGTGAGGTAGGAGTGTGACCTGGGCCAGGTGACCGTGGGGAGGACTGCAAGAGGGTGGAGAGATCTGGGTGTTGGGAACAAGGACAACCTTGGTTAACCCTGGCCATGGATATGGCAGCAACATCCGGGATTGGATTCCCCTCCCACCCTGACACTTACCACAGGACATGGCTGGTCCAGGCCTGGTGGTCCTGGCTCCCCCTTCTGGCCCTTTACTCCCTTCCGGCCAGGGACCCCTCTATCTCCCTGCATAAAAAAGCAGATGGGAGATGGCTGTGGCTCAGGACCACAGTCACATGTACCCGCTGCCCTCAGGCCCAACCTCTGCCAGCCACCTCCTTCTTTCAACCTGCTTCCTCCTCTTCCATGTCCCCAGCCCCCCGGTTCTGTTTCAGCTCCCCTTCCTCCCCCCTTACCTTCATTTCCTCTCACCCTGTCCTACCTTCTCACCTGTGCACCACCTTCAGTCCTCTGTCCTGCCCCCTCCCCTTCCTATATCCTCTCCTCTGCCTGGATGAGATCCAGTGACACGGTAACTGGGGTCATGGGGGTAGGTTTGTCAGAGACAGTGAGATTGGCCCAGGATAGAGCAGGCCTCAGAGCTATTGTGCATAGAGTTGCTATGAGTCTTAGTCAACTTGACGGCACATAACAACAACAATAACAACCACCACCTCTGCCCTCATCTCCTATTCCCTGCCCCCTCCTCCTCACACCGCTTCCTCTCCCCTGACCCACCTTCTCTCCACGATCGCTCCGGTCACCTTTCTCTCCTCTGGGTCCAGGGAAACCCTGACAAAAAAGATTAAAGGTTAAACCTCAAAACAAGATTTGCTTCTCTGTTACCAGTTGGTCTTGCTCCTTCCTGTCCCCATCCATCACTTCCCTCTTTCCATCTTGTTGTGGTACAGCTGACTGGCCTCAGTGCTTAGGTGATCTGTAGTCTGGGTAGAGACTGGTTGAGGGGACTTATGTAGAGGACACCAGCATGGCTGCCTCCCTCCAAAGTGGAGCACGGAAGGCTTTTCTGGGTGGAGTTCCCCAGGCAGAGCTGCTGGCAAAGGGCTTTCTCTTAACTTATAATCAGAACAGCCAGCTTGGACCAGGCTCAGTTGGGACAGAGGCACAGGAAACCCATGGAGTTTATACCACCAGTTTGGACATGTGTGAAGCAGTGGCTTATCATTTTTGCCCCTTGGCTCAGTCTCATGTATGCCCCTCCACATATCCATTCGGACATCTCTCCTGTATCTAACCAACATTATTAAGCAAGCAGCCACTAGGAGCAAGTTGTGGGGCTGCTACTGAGGCCGGAGGAAAGGATCAGACGTGGTCTCTACCCTCCCAGTCTAACAGGACACATTGAGGTTCAGGCAGTTAGGACCAGTGCTCAGAGGAGTGAACCATGGGGCCCTCAGGGACTGTTTGTCAAGGTGTGGGATGAGGGCAAGCTTCTGAATGGATTCCCTATTTCAGCTGGGCCAAGTGGAGGGAGAGAGGTCCAGGTGCTGTGATGCGACCCTGACACCAGGCCTGGAGAGCTTATCTATAGGACATGGTCATATCCACCAAGGTCATAGCCATGGGGCATGGCGTCTGTTCATCTGCATTCCCACTACTTCACTGGGTCCAGAGCCTGAACTTGGTCAGCACGTCTTCATACCCTGTCCCGTCTGATCAATGGAGTAGTCTTCTCAATCACAGACTCAGGCTAGTGTTCTTTGTCTGAAGTTATTCTCCGAAGTAACATTTTCTCCTTAAAGTCTCGGGTGAACTCCACAGTTCTTACATTCTTGCATCTAACAACTTGAGTTTCCCCAGCTCCACCCTCCCTTCTCATAATCCACTAGCTCCACCCTCAGCTCTAGCTGAACATATGACCAGGCCCCCGGGGCCCTCATGACTGGCCCTGAGTTGATCTATTGGCGCCAATGAGAGTCCAGGAGACTTTTTCTAGAACAGTTGTTTGGGGTTATGAGTTCAAACTGACCCACAGCTAATACTCCAGCTGGTTTTCAGAGACAGTAAATTGCATGAGAGGAGACCACCCAATTTCCTTCTGAGGAGTAGCTGCTGGATTTGAACAGTGTGCCTTTGGATTGACAGCACAGCTTCTTACCCAAAAGGCCACCAGAGCTCCCAGAACAGTAGAGAGTGGGCAAATGCTCTTCATTCTGGATTTGGGAGTGGGAAAATGCAGGCGTGGAGCTTGGGAACGATGTCCATGCGTCAGGGGAAGCAGAGACAAGAAAGGGTGAGTTTTGGCTGGGTTTTGGGGGCACAGTTAAGCTCTTCATCTATGTGCTGCCTCCTCCAGACTTTTTTCATTGATGGGCCTTTTTAAGTCAGTTTAAGTGGTGTTTTCCAGAATTTGTAACAAAAAACAGATGTGATCCAATCAACATTGGACTTTCACGTCTCTCCTTTCCCCATACTATCCTAGCTGAAGCTTGTCAGCTCTCACCAGGACATGGCTACGGTGTCCCCACTACTCTATCATCCTTCCTCCTTCCCATCCTTTTTCTCATCCTACATTCATTTATCTAACCACCCATCATCTGGTGTCCATCGATGCACGGACCATCATATTTCCACAAGACAGGGCAAGGTTGTTCACATAAGCGACATGATGACACTTAACAGCACAACTGCCACCTCCTCTCCATTTGGAGCTCTGGGCAAGGAGCTGTGCTGCCAACCCAAAGGCAGGTGGTTTGAATCCACCAGTTACTCCAAGGGAGAAAGATGAGCAATCTCCTCCATGCAATTTAGAGTCTCTGAAAACCCTCGGGAGGGTCAGCCAGGAGTCAGCTTTGACTCCTTGATTATGACTTTGACTTTTGACTTATTCATTTAACTCTTTAGAAGATTCCAATTTTGTTAATAACATCCAAACATCATGGTCAGGAGCAAGTGGAACATAGGCCTTCTTCTCTCCATCAGGACTAATCAAGGTGTTGACCTTGGCCACATCAATGTCATGGAGCTTCTGTACAGATTGTTTGGTTTGGTGCAAGTGTGTTGTTATCTTCTATCTTCTTCATGGCTGACTCAGTGGTCAGGGGAAATGTGATGATGGCATAGCAGTCAAGTTTGTTCCTCCTGGGGGTGCTCTTCCGGGGGTATTTGGGCTGCCTTCGGTGTCTCAGCGTTGTTTGCCAATGAAAGGTAGGTGACATGCAGATATTTTTGGTTTTTTTTTTTTTTAGGCTGTGGATGCCCTTTAGGACTGCCTTCTTGGTTTTTAACATCTTTGCTTTGGCTTCAGTTTTGGGAGAGGCAGGGGCTTCCTTCTTTGCTTTTGGCTCCATCTTTGTAGAAAGTCTCTTGCTCCTTCTACTCATCTGTCCTTTGTTCCTCCCTCCCTCTCCTCCTCACTTCCATCCACTCACTTAGCCATCCATCATCCCTCCAACTCTTTATTTTTCCTCCCTTTGTTCCTCACTGTCTCCTCTCATCTGTTCATGTATCCATCCATCTGGAAAGCATCTGTTCTGGGCTGTGTACTGCACTTGGCATTGAGGACACAGTGCAGTGCCAGCCTGGGGGGAAGGGTCACGCGGTGATGGGCAGATGAGGCTACCCTGTAGGTATAGGCAGCATGTGGGTAGGAGCTCCACGCAGGAGGCTCCCTGTCACAGTGAATGGTGAGACACTTACATCCAGTCCTGGTTCTCCGGGTCTGCCCTGGGGAAAGACAGAGAGGGGGTTTAAGGGATGTGGGGAGGGTGTCCTGGAAGCAAAGCTGGGGAATTCAACTCTGTGGGTGGTAACAGACATGGCTGTGGGAAAGAACTACAGTGCATGCAGATATCGACAAAAGGCAGGGCAGGTGTGACATCCACAGAGCCTAAACTTGGGGTCAGTTGCACACATTGATGTGTACATGTTGATCAATACTACAGACAAGTGGCCACAATGGTGGGAGTTGGGGTGAGGGAGATCCCTGAGGGTGGCTACCTTCTCTCCTTTGGTTCCTGGCAGTCCAATGAGGCCAGGTGGGCCACCTGGACCCTGGATGGAAAAGAAGTGAGTAGGTCAAGAGACGTGGAAGTCACAAAAGCTATCTCTTTATAACTAAACCCATTACACTCACAGGCAGGCCGTTGGGGCCTCTCTCGCCCACTTCGCCCTTCTCTCCCTTGGCTCCGTCTAAACCCTGAAAGTGAAAGGAGGAAGTCTGTTAGGTAAAAAGGGGGTAGACAAGCAATAGGACAGCCAGCTACACAACCAGCCAGGGGCAGGGATGAGGATCCAACAAGTTCCTGAGCCCGGCCTCGAGGCCTGTCCCTCAGAGTGGCTGCCTCCTCTAAGCATGGTCAGGGTGGCCTCCGGAGAAGCCGGAAGTGGAAACAGCACATCTGACTGGGCCAAATGCAAGGTCCCTACTAGGGTCTGTGACTGAATCTCTGCTCAACTGCCAAGCTGGGGGAGCAGCCATGGACTTGTCCCCAAAAGTAGACAGGAAGGCAGTGTGACCAGCTGTGGCCTTCCCTCTGACTCTGCCTGCCTGGAACTGGACACTGGAGCAGGCGGCGTATGCAGCTTTAAGAGGACATACTTGGGTACACACTGGGCCCAAGACTTCATGCTCAGGCTATAGACAGTTGATATGTGTAAGGGTGGTGGTGATGACAAGGAAGGGGGAGACACAGAGACAGGTAGAGGAGTGGGGGTGAAGGAGGGGGCAGGGACAGAAGAGGGACTGGGGGCAGACCGGGCCCTGAGGTGAGAGAACTGAGGGCAGAGTCCACAGGGCAGGGCTGGTGCCCAGAAGCTAATGCTCCAGGAGATAAGGCAAGTTCAGTCCCGGGGACAGTGGCCTTCACTTGGCATTAGCAAGCCTTCCTGAAATGTCCTCAACTGTGTGTTTCTCTTTATGCCCCAGCACTCACCTTGGGACCTTGGATTCCCTGAAGGCCCTGAGGAAGTGGAGAGACTGGATTAGAGGCCATCTGGTTTGGTTGCAAGCTCCTGTCTATACACCCCCCTCTCCTCCCCTCATGCCTTTTCTCTCCCACAGCCCTGATCTTGAGGTTCCCACACCTAGTTTCTGTCCTTACAAATGTGTGCATTCCTCCCCGGGCCCTGTCTACCCCTTGGTCACAACACTGGGCTTTGAATCCATGACCCTTATTCTATCCTGTTTGTTTCAAATTGTCAAACAGTCCTTACCATGGGGCCTGGGGGCCCAGGAGGCCCAGGAGGTCCTGGTTCCACTAGGATCTGGGCCTAGGAAGGGTCAGAGATGGGTTAGTCACCCACTGGCTTGGAGTGGCAGACATGGGTTTCTGCCCACCTCAGGAGGGGCCTGGCCTGGTGAGGGGCCTGCAAGTACCTATAGGCACTCAGGTGAAGGACACAGTCTGAGGCTACTCCCGCCCCAAATCTGTCCCAGGTATAGGTGGGCCAGATAGCCCTCCAGGTTCCAAGGTCCAGGGGCTCCATGGCCTTGAACAGTTTGTTGGGGTGACCCTGACTCCTAGGCCTGCCATACTTACCAGGCTCTCCTGTAGGGTATCAGATGCGGATTCTCCCTTCTCCCCCTTGGGGCCATCAACACCCTGCAGGACAAAGTGGCTTGTGACCCTTTGTGTCCATGTTCAAATGACTATCTTCAGTACTCTACTACCCCCTCTCTTCTTTCGTTAGACTTCCAAGGAATGTGATATGTTTTTTCTTTATAGCCTAAAAACATCCCACTCCCCAAAAATCTAGGTGAATGCTTGGATACGGGCACGATGGGCATTTGGGGGCACATCGGCAGCTGGGGGACTGGTCTCTCGAGAGTGGAGTAGGCAGCCAGGGGTTCTGGAAGCACTGGCCAGAGTTCAACCCCCAGCTCTTCCTCTCTGTCTAAGCATCCCTGGGTAAGAAGGGTCTCTACTCTGACACACTGAGTGGAGTGAGCAATTGGTGCCCAATGGCTGTTTAAAACCTGGCAGCAGCTCCCATCCAGTCACAACAGTGGTGGGGTTGAGCCGATCCTGCACCATCTTCACGACCGATCATTGGCATGCTTGAGTCTGCTGTTGTGCCCACTGTGTATTCTAGGACTGTGCAACTGAGGGAGCTCATTCACCCTCCAGCATTCAGTCAGATACTATTCTCCTGAGGGTCTTCACTGGCTGATTTTTAGAAGCAGATTATCAAGCCTTTCTTCTTAGTCTGTCTTAATACAGAAGCTCTGTTGACACCACCCATCATGGCTTGATGTAAATTCCAGTGGCACAGTTTCTAGCATCGCAGCTTCATGAAATCTACTGTGGGAGCAGCTTAGCAGCTCATATGTTAGCCCTTAGAGAAGCCTTTTAGTTTTGACAGCCCTTTTAAGAAATGTATGCCTCAATCATTTTATTAATAATATGTTTTGCTGAATTATTGTGTTCTAGTACAAGCTGACCCAGGTTGGCTACCACTCCCTGACTATAGCCTGTATCTAGTCCAAGGCCTGGATGCTCAAGAGAAGTTGGAAACAATAATGACTCCCAAATGTGAAGAAATATCAACTACCAACTACAACACACTTTGTGTAACACCTATGCCCAATCTCTGTATATAAACCCAATCTTTGCTTTCTCTCAGGGTCAGAAGAGTTTGGTCAGTAGCCAACGTTCTCAACCTGCACATAATAAAAGGTTGTTTGTCTCCAATACTGGCTGAGTGTTTAAATCTCACATTTTCTGCCTAACACTACCATAGCTCGACAAGCTGCCTGATGGATGGTGGGTCGCAATAGCAACCACAATAAAAAAATGATGCCCATTATAGTGCATAGCCATTATGGACCAGCTGCAGGTTTTGGTCTTGTTCATGCATTCACTTTTGGGAGCAGAAGAGGTGGTCATCACTTGTTGTGGGTTCCTTGACCAGGATGGAGCTAGATGCAAACTCAGGTTTGAGCACTCAGGGTGACCAGCTGGCCACCTTGTTCTCACTGGCTGGTCCCCTCATTTCACGATAAGTTCTTTGAAAGATGGGGAAATTGAAGATTAGGCTGGGGGCAGCCTGTCCTGGGCCCCCACTTTCAGAGCCATGGTGGCCAGGAACCCAGAGCTTCTGGTCAAAAGCTCAGTGTCCCTGGGCTGTGCCTTTGCTGGAGCTGGTGAGGTCTCTGAAGTGGGAATCTGGCCAGCCTCTAGCTGCTGCTCTAAGGTGGGCACACCGTTACACAGCCCCACAACCCCCCAGGGGAAGCATTAGTGCAAGGGCCAAGACTAACACCTACCGGAAGGCCGGACAGACCCATCTCTCCTGCTTCCCCTTTGGGTCCAATAGGCCCAGGTTCTCCTGGATCTCCTTTTGGTCCTTTGGGACCCTGAGAATCATAAGGACAAGGTGTCAGTGGGACTCAGCAGTGTACTCCTTCCCTGTCTTGACAGACTCCTAAGAGCTGAATCTCTTCTAGGCCAGCCAGACCCCCCATATTTTCTTGGGATTCCAGGTGGCTGGAATCTTAGTCAGATGCATCAGGAGCCATAATGGAGCTGGGTCTGCGGGGCCCACTCTGTCCTCACTGAAGGTGGTAGGGGAATGGGGCAGTCACTGAGGGGCACTCCTGGGGCTCAACTTTGTGTCCCTATCTCAGGAGCCAGCAATGGGGGCCAATCTCCTCACTAGCACCTGCACCTTTTTACTCAGGATTTAACACCCTCTTGTGCCATGCAAAGAACCCTGGCAGTATCATAGGTTGAGTTGGGCTTCTATCTGTAAGGTTGGTGATTCAAATTCATCAACTGCTCTGAGGGAGAGGGGTAAGGCAGTCTGTTCCTGCAAAGAGTTACAGCCTCAGAAATCTCGTGGGCAGTTCTGATCGTCCTGTAGGCTCATTATCAGTTAGAAGTGACTCAATGGCAATGGTTCTTTAATGGTTTGTGTGCATGTGCTGTACACTAGTGACCCAGTGGTGTCAAGTGGGGACATTCCCATCTAGGTGGACTCCATCCACATATATGACTATGACATAATAACAATGACAGCCATATGTTCACTAACATTTGTAGACTACTTGCCAGATATGACGTGTGCCAGATATGGCCTGAAGTATTTTGTATACACGAGGTGATTTATCCTCACAGCCTTAGGGCCACTGCCCCCTTTCCCCGTCAGAGGCTAGGGCCTCGAGCCAACCTAAGGCGTCAGGTCTGGATCAGGATACACCCACAGAGTTCACGGTTCATGTATCACACCAGTGCTCTAACCTCTTCTCTAGTGTCTAGTGCTGGGGACATTCACACATACACCCCAACACAGACACACAGCTCCCCTACAGCCTGCCCCAAGCACTAGTACCACCCGGGAAGCAGAGCCCCAGAGACCTTCTCTCCATCTATTCCAGGGGCACCGGGCAGTCCGAGTTCTCCCTGGAAAAGAACAGACAGGATGAGGAGTGTGGTCACTGTGGTTCTGCGAGGAGTTTGCAGTCTGAGGCTAGGCCAGCCTACCGCTCCAGGGACACCATCCCCAGGCTAAGCGGTGGGCAGAAGCTGCCGTCTTGCACTGGCGCTGGTGATGCCCCTCTCTCTGCTTCCCCAGCTGCCTTTTGGGCAGGTGTGGCCCGCAGGGATGCTCTATGAGCAGTCATAGCACAGATGAGGGCCTCAAGCTTCAGGGTCAAGTGGCTTCCTCCAGGCCACACAGTCTGGGACCAGATCCTTCCTGACTTTCAAGTCTTGGCCTCTTTCTCCTCAGAGAAGGGGGCAGAGAAGGGGCAGGTAGGCCAGTCAGTAGTGATGCCAATCCAGGAGGCTGCTGTGATGTCGTGAGGAGCTGACTTAAGGAGTCAGACACAAAAATGTGGCTGCCCAGGGAATAGCCAGGACCCAGGAAGAGAAAAATCATCATGGATAGGGAAGAACAGCCATCCCTTTCCCTGACCCTAGAGAAGCCAGGTTGGGACACCAGGAAAGAGACGTGGAGGAGACCTGGAGGAGAGAGGTGTGGGGACCACAGAGTTGCATTTGCACTGACCTTGGCTCCAGGGATCCCAGGTGGCCCCTGTGGCCCTGGAGGACCCTGCGTAGAAAAGACATGCTGGTTGGTGCTGAGGCAGGGCTTCCCCTCCACCCTAGGGCCAGGTTTCTGCACAGCTGGGTGACAGCCCAGGATCCTGGCAGCTGCACCCACTCAGGCCGCGTCACACCCTGTCTTATGGGAGGACAGGTAGAGAGCAACAGCGGTCACTGAGAAACCACAGTGTATGCTGCCCATGTGGGGCCCAGAGTCTCTCTGTCCTCAGAGCCATTCTGCCCTAAATACAGATTTCTTCATAGCATTCCACTGCTCAAGAGCCTAGGATGGTCTCCATTGCCTCTCGAAGCCAGTTAAAATCCCCAGCTGGCCAGTCAAAAATCCCATCCCCCCAGTCATCCTCACTGTCCATCTGGGAGCCTCTGATGGCACCTGCATTGCTTACTGGTCCTGAAACTCTTGTTGCACTGGTTGAGGAGGACATCATCCATGGCTGAAGATGTCCTCTCTGACCAGTCTTCCTGAAGGTTTGTGACTGTCTCTGGCTTGACAATCCTTCAGTAAGGACAGAATTCCCCCAGTTCAGCCCCCCAACTCACATCCTTCCCTAAAGTCACATGCCTGCCAGTCCCCAGCCTGTAGGCTCCAGAACTCCTTGGCTATCAGCTTGCCCCCTAGGTGTGGCCAGTTCTGCAGACAAGCACCTAGTTTCACTGTGCACGTCTCCTCCATCCACCCTTCCTTTGGGCCCAGGCCCAGCTCCTACTCCAGTGACTCCCTGATTTCAGCTTTCCCCTCACCCACTGTTGTACGCCTTTTATTCCATTTCTCAGCCTCCCCACAATACTATTTCAAAAATTACTCCTTTGCTCAAGAACCAACTGTGGTTCCTCACTGCCCATCAGATTGAGTCATCATCCCGGTCTGGTAGCCACAGCCATCCCTGGGCCCCTCCTGCATGCCTCCAAGCCTCCTGGAGACACAGTACACACTGTGCATGCTCGAGGGACCACACAGGCCTGCTGGGTGGGGACCATAGTTGCCACCTATGTGTACCCCTTGCAGCTTGGGGAGGCAGCTGGGGTTGAAGCTCAAGTGAAGCCTATGCAAATACCCAGTTGATTTGTTCTCTAAGATGCCCCTCCCCCAGTTGCATCCCAGGTCCCATCCCTAGGAATTATTAGCAGCTGGCACCAGTGCCTCTACTGGGATGGGGCCCCAGTTTGCCAGTTGCTGGGTGTGGCCAAAGTCCACACGTTTCCTGGGCAGAAGCAGGTGTGTCACTCTCATATACACCCTAACAGTCGCTAGAAGAGTTGGGAAGGGCTCAGGGAGGCCCCACTGAAACTGGGGACTGTGGATGCCTGAGGGTGTGCTTCTCTGTCTGTGGTGGTGGAGGAGCTCAGGCTTCCCAGCTTGGTGTTGGTCTCATACACAACGAATTATTTCCTGCTGCCCAGGGCTGCTACACCAGGCAACAGGAGAAGCTGGGCCTTTAGGTTGTTCTCCCTGATCCCGTGTGGAGAAGTGCTGGGTTAATAGATAAATTAGTCCCTAAGGAAATGAATAGCCCACATAGCTGTTCTGTTAGAGACCCACCTTCAGGGCATCCAGGATCCTGCCATCGTAGTCAATGACCACTGTGTCTCCTTGTTCACCCTTGAAGCCTGGAGGTCCCTGTGGCAGGAAGAAAAGCAAGGGTTTCAGGAAGAGCTATGCTGGTGTGGGGGTTGACAGCCTACAGAGGAGGTCAGCAGCGGAACTCCTGCATGCTTGTGCGCTATGGGCAGCCACCATTGTGTGGACGGCTTGGATGAGCCTGAACCCCTTCTCATGTCCTCTGGGTATTTTCTCTCGACTCATAGATTGGCAGCATCATGATAGAGGGGGAAGAGATTGAGATTGTTAAGAACTTTAGTTTGCTTGGCTCCACAACACTCTTGGTACCAGCAGCCAGGAAATGAAAAGATTAATTGCATCGGGAAAGTCTGCTGTCAGAGACCTCTCTAAAGTACTAAAGAACAACAATGTCAGTCTGGAGACTAAAAGTGTGCCTGACCCAGGCCATAGTCTTTGCAATTACTTGCTATGCATCAGAAAGCTAGACTGTGACTAGCTAGGGATGATAGAAGAAGAATTGATGCTTTGAGTTGTGGTGCTGGAGAAGAATATTGGACTACTAGGAGAACAAACAGGTTTATCCTAGAGAGGGTAAAACCAGGCTGCTCTTTGGAGGCAAGAATTCCAAAGCTGCACACCCATGTTTATTGCAGCTTTGTTCACAATAGCAAGGAGTTGGAAACAACCTAAGTGCCCATCAACAAACGAATGGCTAGAGAAGCTGTGGTATATTCGCACAATGGAATACTATGCTGCATTAAAAAACAAGGAACTCATGCAATATTATTCAAAATGGTTGACTCTGGAGAACATTATGCTGAGTGAAATATCCCAGTCACAAAAGGACAAATATTACATGATGCCACTGTTGTAGAATGGGACTGTCCTTGGGGTTGGGGAGAGACTGAGTAAGATGGGTTCAATAATGTATACTGCACTGAAACAGAGGAGGGAGAGAACCGTCTAAAAGAGAGATGTAACTGGGTATTTCTGTCATCACAGGAGACTAGAGCGAGGGCTGCATGGTGGAGGGGACCAGGGGGAGTGTTTGTAAAACAATGAAAGAATCTTTTCTTTTACTTTTCCATAATTTTTGGACTCATGTACTTATAACTTGTTAGTCAAATTTGTGTCTTCTAGGTTGCAACACCCCCATGATACATCTTGAAGGATATGCACATGTACAGCCAAGCACAATCAATAAGAGTGCATCTGAATTCCAAAATCAATCTCCATAATAGTCTATGTGTTTCCTACTGCCAAAGGGGCCCTTTAGAGTAGTGAGAGAAGATCTTCACCCTGAAACCCACAGCGTCCCTTTTCAGCAGGAAGTAGCTAAGAGAATACGCCGTCCCCTTTTCCTTATGACTCAGGGTGAAGTCTCTCTCAGGGAGGAGTGATAGGGAATGGCAAAGGACACACTGACAAAGAAGATTAATCAGAACTGGCTTTGACAAGCACTGTGGCATTTGGACAAGAACAAACTGGGAGGAGGGTAGAGAGAATAGTGCAACAATGAATGAGTGGAAGCCCAAAATCTCTGTAAATGTTTATGAAAATTAATAAAATATAATTATAGAAAAAAAAAAGAGAGAAAAAAAAAAAGAATTCCAAAGCTTCATTTGTCATACTTTGGACATGTTGCAAGGAGGGACCAGTCCTTGGAGAGGGATGTCATGCTTGGGAGGGTTGAGGGACAGTGTAAGAGAGGAAGACCATCAAAGAAATGGACTGATTCAGTGACTGGGGTAATAGGGAGAGGTGTGTCAGAGACAATAAGATTGGCACAGGATAGAGCAGGGTTTAGGGCTGTTGTACATAGGGTCGCTATGAGTTGTACGTGACTCAATGGCACATAACAACAAACAACAACAACAACTTTGATCAAAAGCTCCTGGGGTCAGGCAGGCACCAGCTGAAGAGAAGGCTGTACTCCGTTTATTAGTTTGAAGGGGTGACTGTGGTTCACCTTCCTGTGGGATTTCAAGCTCACTAAGGCCTGAACCTTGAGTTTCAAAGACATCTCTTAGAAATTCTTATTTTTAATAGGAGGTTCTTCAAGATTTCAAGCATTGGCAAAAGCCCCACAATAATGATAAACCCCCCCCAACCAGCACCCCCCAAAACACTTTGTATGCCCATCAAAAGCCAAATGCAGGCTGGATCTAGTGCTGGGCCACCATTTACAACCCCTGATAGAAGGTGCACAAACAGCACTAACATTCTACTATTCCCTTTCGTCCTTGAGGAAGAATGCTCACTGGTGGCTGGCCCAGTCCATCACGTCTGACCTCACTTTACAATCCAGGCTGCTCTTTGTCAGGAGTGAAATGAGAGGCACTAGGGTTTGGACCTTGTGAGAGGGGTGGAGAGTCTGAGGGCTGAGTGTCACCCACCAGCTGCAGCGTGGGCGCTGCAGGTCTGCATGGAATTGTGTTCTTTGTGGAACTCCCATACCTAGCTGAATGCCCAGTCAACTACACAATCAAGACTCACGCTCCATACTTTTGTGGAGAAAATCAAGGCTCTGGGAACATGCTAGCTCCTAACAACCCAAGGTGACAATTGGGCACAGGTTTCCAGATGCAAACCCAAATGTGCTCTGTTGATGCTATGTGCCATCCAGTTACCTGTGACTTTTAACCAAGCCAAAACCCAAACCTGTAGCCATTGATTCCAACTCATAGTGACCCCATGTAACAAAGTAGAAGAGTCTATCACGTTTTTTTGACTGTGATCATTGAAGAAGATCACCAGGTCTTCCTTCTGCAGTTCAAACCACCACGCTCTAGCTAAAAGCAAACTGTGCCACTAGGGACCTTAAAGGGACATGCACAAAGGCTGGTTAAAAATTATCTGGTTATGAGATGGGACGTGGGGGCTGTGCTCTCAGTAACAGGAACCTTGGTGTTAGGTCTGGAAAAAAAAACACCAAACAAACAAATAAACCAAAAAAAACCCCCAAAACAAACAGCCACCATATAGATACAGGAATATATTGGCAGAACCAACCAGTCAAGGATGTGGGTTTAAATATGCAGAGTCTAGAAAAGGCATATGTTCATTGAGGAAAGCCAGAGAGAAGGGAGACACTTGAACTCTTATTTTTTAAATACATCCTTATTTCAGTGTTATAGAAAATGTATGCATTATGAAGTTAAAGATAAAAATCACTAGTAAATCATTATTGCTCTTTTTAAAAGATGTAGCTGTAACATTTTCTGTTCTGATTTACCTTTCTTTACCTTCCTCTGGGATCTTGATGGGAACTAAGCTTATGAAGTGGTGGGTAGGAGCTGCTTACCCGCGGTCCTGGGGTTCCATCCATGCCTCGGAGGCCAGGATCCCCCTGTGGAGACATGTGGTTGCAGCTTCCTGAAAAGTTGAAGGCCCCCCCACTCTGCCCTCCTCTTTCCCAAAAGGGTGTGTATTAGATGGAGCCCTAGCCGGCTTGTTTACAACAATGACACCCACCATGTCTGGAGGCTGAGCAGGTGGGAGGTCTCAGTGACCCTTTCCTCTGACCTACATTATATGCAGAGGGGACAGGGGGATCCACCTTTGTCAGGTCTCTCAAGTGCGTGAGCCACAGAGCTGGGTGACTGGAGACCTTCTCTCTCACCCAGATTCACTGCCACCTGCCCCCATACCAGTTGTGTTTGGATGTGCAAGGAGACTGGCCTCATCCAGACCTCCCACTTAAAGGGGCCAAGTAGGGCTCCCCTGCAGGTACCGAGCAGCCCAGTATATGTCACCTTTGCTCCTGGGGTGCCATCCACACCGTTCTCTCCTGGGGGGCCCATGCTCCCTGGTTCACCCTGTAACAGAAGCATTCCCTTGAGAAGGGGTATGAGGGGCAAGTGGGGGCTTCTAGGACCTCTCCAGTGGGCTTCTGGTGGGGATGTCAGGGTTTTCCAAGGCCAGCATGCTCAGGACACAGCCACCACCTTCCAGTTTGGGTCTTGGCGCAGAATTGGGGTGGCCCAGGGTCCTATTCTAGATGTAGGTTGGCCAGGTTTTGGCGGTTATTGTGGGGGTGCAGGGGAGCAAGGACAATATCCAAGTTCTAATTTGGGGACAGAGAGTGGGGTCACTGGAGATAGAACCCAGGAGGACCTGAGCGTGTGGGACGGGTGAGTGGCCTGGATGTGGGCTAAGTCCTTGGGGAGTGAGCTGGCCCAGGCCCTCCACTACCTCTGCCGGGCCTGCCCTGGGCGCCATCCAGAGAGTAGCTTTCCCAGACAGATGGGCCCCGGGAGGTAGGATGCAAGGGCTCAGCGAGGAAGGGCATGCACTTACCTTGGGCCCTGGGGGTCCAGGAGGCCCTGGCTGGCTTGATGGCCCATCATCACCCTAGAAAGAGAACAGCTGAGGCCACAGCTCTGGACCAGGGACACTCCTGAGATTGGATGTCCCTGGTAAGGCTTTCCCCAAACACTTCTTAGAAAAGCGAAGGGTGTGGAGCAAGGAGTGTAGGTTGCATGGGATCTCACCCCGAACAAAGCTGCTTTTCCCCTCTGTAACTTCTCCAACCAAGCACCGTGTTTTTCTTATCAAAAACCTTCTGTGGCTGCTCACTGCCCTCACCCCTCCACCAGGCATTCAGGCACTTGATGACCAGTCCGACATGACACCCCTTACATCCCAGTCTCTCTACCCGTTCTCCCTCCATTGCAGGTCAGGCCTTGCAGTAACTCAGTGTCCCTTGCTCTGTAAATGGACCAGGCTGTGTTATATCTCTGTACCCATGAACATGCTGCTACTTCTACCTGTGCTGTTCCTTCCCCCAATCCACCGACTCCTGTCCCCTACTCTGGGGGACCTTCCTGGACCCTGGTGGCCAGCCGTTCTCCCTCTCCTCTGGACTCCCCAGCACCCCAGCGCCTATCACTCTGGGCTGGGCTGGTTCTTCCTTGGCCTCCTTGCCCACCTAGGGCAGGGATGGGACCCGAGCCATCCCAGTCCTTTGTCCCTTGTCCTCATCAGTCCAGGCCCAGCCTCAGCAGGTGCTTACTGAAGGAATGGATGGACAGGTGAGGGAGAGAATGAATTCATTTTGAGAGTGACCCCTGAAGTTGTCAGGCAACAATATCTCTACTTGGATAGAGCTGGTACTTGAGTCAGAGGAGGCTAATGGAGAAAAGATACTGTGTGCAGTATGTACGCAGTGCATTTCTGGAAATACGTGCTGGGCAGAGCATCAAGGATAGTTGCATGGAGGGACTGCTTCTGCCGGTGGCCTGCGAAGATCTCCAAGGGGAGGGGGTAGTTGTTATGGGACTTGAAGGAGAAGGGTTGGCCATGGGAAAAGTGGGGGAGATGACTCCCGTCCAGTGGTCCTTGACCTTGAACTAACATCAGCAACACCTACAGACCCCACCCTCTGGCATCCGATTTAGCAGAGTTGGGTGGGCCTGGACATTCACACAGCTCCCAGGGGACACGGTGCTGCTGGTCTGGAGACCACCTTTTGAGAACCACTGTCCCTGGCTCTGATGTAGGAACTAGTTTGGTGTGTCTGAAGATGGCAAAAAAGAAGTAAATGAGTGAATGATTTTCTGTCCAATTCTGCCCTTTCTCTGATAGCCTCAAGACAGAGCTGCAGCCCTGGAACACACTCAGCCCACAGTGAGCCTTAGCAAAGTAAAGGGAGTTTTCCCTATAGTGCACTTCAGACTCACCGCTTCTCCTACGCCCACCCTTCTCCACCACCCCACCACTTCCTGCCACCCAGCCAAGTAGCTTCTCCTCAGTCCCCTCACCTTCTTTCCAGGAATGCCGGGCTCACCCTGAGGGGACACAATGGGGTGCAAAAGAGAGGTGAGTCATGGGAGTATGGTGTGGGACCCAGGTTCCCTGCTCCTCTGGCAGAAGCTCCACAACCAGGGTGGCTCTGAGACCCCCTGGACTCCTCGGAGAGTACTAAATTCCACTCCTAAGTCAGAATGACCCCGGGTAAGTCACTTTCTGTCTTAATCAGGTGCTGTTACAGAGATAATGCATCGAATGACCTGGTCTGGGGATGGAGCTCTTTCCCTCTTCCCTCTTCCTCAGCCCAGGGCCTCTGGTCCCTCCACACAGGCTCCCCTTCCACTCCCGTAGGGCTGCCCCAGGGGCGAGGATAGGAGAGAGCCAACATCTGGAGAAGGCTTTAAAAGTTGACATGTTTTGAAAACTATGACGAGTGAAATAAGCCAGACACAAAAGGACACATTGTGTGATCCCACTTACGTGAAATGTCGTGAAAATGCAAATGTATAACAACTAAAATTTATAGGGGGTTACCAAGGACTGAGGGAGGGTGGAGAATGAGGAGTTATTGCTTCAGGAGTATTGATTTTCTATCTGGAATGATGGAAAAGTTTTGGAAATAGTGATGATGGTTGCAAGTGTGAATATGATGCCACTAACACATAAAGTAATTAAAAATGGCAAATTTTATTTTCTAGGGAGCTCTGGTGGCCTAGTGTTAAGGAGCTGCGCTGCAATCCTGAAGGCATACGGTGGGAGAAGGATGGGCAATCTCCTCCCATATGATTACTGCTTCTGAAAACCCGTTGGAGGGTCAGCTATGGGTCATTTCTGACTCAATGGTACGCAAAACCAACAACAATGTGTTTGACTATTCCATCCTCACAACCTGGTACAAAGGAAGTGTTGTGAGTTTTTTTTTTTTTTATGCCCCCATTTAACAGGTGAGCAAATCGAGGCCTTAGTGAGATGGATGAACTGATCCAAAGGTCACAGTTGATGGTAGACCTGGGACTGGAACGAAGCTGCTGCCTCAGTGGTGGTGAGGTAGCTCCCTCTATCCCATGCCAGACCTGGGGAGGAAGGAGGTCAGGGAATGAGGAATACCCACCTTGGGTCCTGGAGGTCCTTTTGGGCCCTAGAACAAGAGAAGAGAAGAGAAGAGAAGATTAGAGAAGAGGTGATGGATATTCTATTCAAGGAGCTTTATGGTTTATTTTTATTATGATTCTAATTTGATTTTTAAAAATGGAGCTCTGCTGGCATAGACCTAGAGAGTTGCGCTGTTAACCCAAAGGTCATGCCTCTTTAATGGTTCAAATCCATCAGTGACTTGAGAGATTTATAGCTTCAGAATCTCACTGGAGGGTCAGCTATGAGTTCAGTCTGACTGATGCGTAATGAGTTTCCTAGAATTTGATAAAAGGGGAAACCAAATCCCAGGGAGGCTGAGACGAGGTTGTTTCTGTGACTGGGGTCGTGTGGCCAGCTCCAGGACTCACTCCTACACTGGGAAGCTTCTGACTTAGTTCTGAAGCAGGGAAGAGTGAACTACAGAAGTGTGGGGCTATTTGATCCTGCCAGGGCTGGCACTTCGCTCACCCACCTCTCCACAACTTACAACAGGCAGAAATAGGGTGGGGGCCTACACAAACACACACCCTCTCCTGCGTGAGTGCATGGGGGCAAAAGACTTTAATATCTGGGAAACACAAGGTGCCCCCCTGAGCTCCCGAGATGCTCTGGATACTCACCATCTCTCCTTCTTGCCCTTTGGGACCCTGGGGAGACACAAGATGTTAGTGCTGAGGGGATGCAGGGATTTCACATTCGCCACCCAGATAATGATCCTGACTCTTCTGGGGATCTCTATACAGAATCACACTTCCTTCTCACCAAATCCCCAAAGGCAGACATTGTATTACCATCTCCATTTCACAAGTGGGAAAGTTGTGGCTAAGAGTTTTTGGAGGGAATGGATGAGCAGTTGTCCTGAGATGGGCCCCCTGGTGGTAATTTGGAGGAATGCTGGCTCTGGGTTGGATGGGAAGGACAGGTTGACTCACATAATGGGTTACAGAAAGGGGTGCCTGGAAGAGTCTGGGCTACAGGGTTTGGATTAAAAATATGGGAGAAAAATTAATGTTGAAAAACTGGTGTTAGAGAGATGAGTCTGAAAGAAAGAGACAGAGACCAAGAATACAGTTGGTAAAGATCTGAAGAGAAAAGACCCACGTGTGGAACTCAGGCAGGGATGGAATTGAAATTGCAACTAAGGTCAGGGTTAGGTTCTCTTGAGAAGTTGAGGGTAGCATCAGAGTCCAGAGGGGTCAGGATTGTGTTTGGAAAGTTGCATGAATTAGGGATATGGACCAGGATTTGAGACTGAGTTTGGGGTCAAAGTCTTAGTTGGGGTTGTAGTTAGGGTTAGATCTAAATTGGGGATATGGTTAGTACAATTTTTAAAGTTTGGCTAGGTTAAGGGTCTGGGTAGGGAGAACCAGTTTAGTGGTAAGGAATTGCACTGCCCACCAAAAGGCACATAGCTCAAGTTCACCAGTTGCTTGATGGGACAAAAATGGGCAATCTCTTCCTGTGCGATTTACTGCCTCTGAAAACCTGCTGGAGGGTCAGCTATGGGTAGGTTCTGACTTGACAGTATTCAACAACCAGGATCAGGGTTGGGGTTAGGTTTAGGATTGGGCTGGAGTCAGGGGTAGGAGTGGGATTGGATTTAGGGCTGATGGCTCTTGGGAGAATGTCTGAGGTTTTGATAGGTGCAGGACCAGGTCCTGGGTGGTCCAATTCCATATTCTTTCTTACCTCTGGGCCTTGTGATCCTTTGGGGCCATCTTTCCCAGTGTCACCAGGAGGACCCCGGGCTCCTGGAGGTCCAGGTGGCCCAGGGGGTCCAGCAGATCCATCTTGCCCTTGGTCTCCCTAGAAGACATGCGGCATGGTAGGACTTTGAGAGTAAGGGGAAGCAGCTCCAGCTTCTGAAGACAAGCTTCCTTAGATGGACAGACCTAATATTTTCTGTAGACTTTCTTATTGAGTCTCTGGCCACTTGTTGTGGCCATATCAAGGGGATGTTCACTATATCTTGGTGTATGAGGCTAATAGGACTTTTCCCACTCTAGGAAAAGTGCCAGATTTCCAGCTTGCTGGTTCCAGAAGCCCCAGCTGCCATACATTAGATGCAGGAGAAAGCACATGTGTCTAGCCAGCGCCATCTTTCCAGAAAGAGGATTATACCCCGCCCGAAAGACCACCCTTGCTGGTCAGCTCCTGTGCTCTCAGGTGTCTATCCCCAAATGAAAACCTAGGTTCTCACAAAAACCTCACTTTGCAAATACTTCCTAAAAACAGTTTTGTTCATAATAGCTAAAAGCTGGAAGCGGCCTACACATCCTTGACCAAGTGAACAGTTAAATGTACTGTGGCGTGTCCACACCATGCAATATATTCAGTAGTAAAAAGGGACACACTATTGATACACACGGCAACATGGATGGATCTCAAAAGAAGCTGATCTCAAAGCTGTAGTCTCATCATGCCATTTTATGTAACATTCTTGAAATAGTCAATTTGTAGAGGTGTTAGTGGCTGCAGGAGGGATCTTTGGGATGGAACTGCTCTATGTCTTGACTGTGGGGTGGTTACACCATGAATCCACATATGCGATAAAGGTGCTTAGAACTAAACACACACATGCACATACATATATACATGAGTGCATGAAGAACGAGTGAAATCAAGGCAAGGGTGGTGAACCGTCCCAGTGTCAATTTTACTGGTTGTGAGGTTTGTACTACAGCGATTTTCCCATTTGGGGGGAAATGGGTGACAAGTACGTAAGGTGTTATTTTTTACAATTGCTTGTGAATCTAATAATTATATGAAAATATAAAGTAAAAAAAAAAAAAAGAAAGTAGCAGTGGCTTACACGATCTCTGTCATGCAGCTCCAGGCCCCCAACTCTCAGACCCTTGTTAGGACCAGGTCAGACCTCAGGCAGCCAGAGCCCTCACCTCACTGAGGGACCCACTCTCTCTGACTCAAGGCTGCCTCTCCAATGGATTTTTGGGAGGCTGTAAATGGCACAGGAGGTGATTGCCCATCTTTCTCCTGCAGAGCTGCCAGTGGATTCGAACCTCTAGAGGGGTCACCTTTGTTTTAGCAGCACAGCTCCCTACAGACTCTGCCACAAGAGCTGCCAGTGTAACTGGCTCCTCACTGCTGCTCCTGCAGCACCTGCCCGCACTGATGCCGCTGAGGGCACCGGGCACGCTGGGCCTCAGCATTCCCAGGCCCGCACCTTCTCTTCAAGAAGTCCACATGGGCCCCATCCTCACCATTGCCGTCAGAGGCTGGGCAAGGTCTTCCTGGCGATTTTCTTGCTCAGCCTCTGAGATGACCTGTGGGCGCCTTACAGCCCCATTTTACAGCTCAAGGGCCCGGGATGCAGAGAGAATAATCATTTCTCCAGGGCTGTACAGCTCACAGGAGTTTCTAGGTGGTACAGACGGGCCATTAACCTAAGGTTTTAGGGTTTGAACTCACCAGGCAGTGCCCTGGAAGAAAGGCTGGTGATCTGCTTCCGCAACGATTATATTAATGAAAACTGGGTGAAGCAAAGCTCTGCTCTGACATACACGGTGCCAAAATTGACCCAAGGAGAAAGGCAGGGCTCTTTTCTGGCCACCAAAGTTAGTGACCTTTTTCAGATTCATTCATAACAAGCTTTAGTGACTCAGTGATCAAGTGCTTACTGCTAACTGAAAGGTTGATGGTTTGGACCCACTGGCTGCTCTACAGAACAATATTGTAGCAGCTTTGCTTCTGAAAGATTTCTAGCCTCGGGTACTCTACGGGGCCCTTATGCTCTGTTTTTTGTTTTGGCTCCTATGAGACAGCATCAGCAGGACGGCAGTGGATGGTTTGATTTTTTCAACCCTCTAGTACATAGCACCTGTAAACCAATGGATTTCTTTTCTCAACTTAAAAAAAAAAATCAACCAAAGCTCTAAACATTAACTGTAATATCTCCTGATAACCCTGGCTTCTGTCTAAAATAGCCAGGGTTCTGACCAAAAAAACTAGAATTCAATCTTGGTCACAAGGGAGGGGGTAAGGTGGTAGAATTCCCTCTTCATTTTGTGAATTATCAGGAGTCGTTGAAGAGTTATTTGAAGATCTCCCTGCAACGTTCCCACCCAATATCACTGGCCCTTCCATAGTTCACAGGCTTCAGGCTGAGAATGGCCACCCCCGGACTTTACATGTAAAGGCAGGAAATGGGTGGAAACACTTAGAGGTCTTAGGAGAAGTTCCTTCCTCTGAGTTACTGGAAAAGGAGGCCACTGGCTGCTTTGTCCTCCCTCTGGGTGAGGACGCCTGAGGTCTACCCTGGGGCAAAGGGGTGATTAGGAGGGGCACAGCACGCAAGCAGACCACACACGCCATGAGGCCAGTCTACCTTGAGGATTCGGAGATTGTATGCATGATGGTCTCTATTTATAAATCCTGGATGGAGCCGTGGGAAAACCATCTGGTCAGGCAAACAGGTTGTGTGGTCAGAAAGGCAGGGGTGGAATTTAGAAAGCCACAGATTATTTCTGGAGGCAAATAATCCAGCTCAGGGGATCCAGTTTGGTGATTGTTTGATCTACAAAGTGTTTGTGACGCTCCTACCCCAGGGTTAGAATACCCTTGTTCACACCGGGCAGGGCAGCTCCTGTGTCTTGGAATGTTTCTCCTGGATGCTTCCTTGAGATAACGTGCTGAGAGACGCCCATAGAGAATGGGGAGCCAGGTGTGAGCTCTCCTCAGCAGAGCTCACAGCTAACAACTGGCTGGGGGAGGATGCTGTCACTCCAGGGGCCAGTGGGCTGGACTTCTGGTGACTCCAGCCCACTTCCCATTTGCCTACAGTCACGTAAGATATGCCGGCCAGCCCAGAGGGTCAAAGGGGAGCATGACCTATCATTGCCTAAACTGCTACACCCTTGGAGGGTTGCTTCACAGGTAACTGGAAGATTGGGACCACAGAGAAGCTGTCAGGGAAGAGGGAAAGGATTCATGCTCCTCGTGAACCCTGGGCCCTGGGACTTTAGGCCTACTGAGAATCCTTGTCTGAGAAATGAACTTGGAATTTTATTCACTGGGAAGTAGGCAAAAATTTTCCTCAGCTGTAACAAGAATGAGTCAAGGTGCCCTTTCTTTGCTACCCGGGCAAATCTTTTTTGTGGCCCTGGCCCACCCTGCAACCCAAGGCTCATCATAGAGCACATCTATTTGCAGGGGCTCCTGTGCGGCCCCACTGTGACACAGGCTCAGTCCTAATGCTAAAGAATCCAGGTTCAGAGAGGGGCACAGGTTTGTCTGGGCTATGAAGCCATTAAGTCACAGATGGGACAGGCACCCAGCCCAGGCTCTGCACCATAGCCTTGTTCCCTAGTTGTGTCTTCCTTGGAACGTAGGCTGTTTCAGGCAAACATCATCTCTAGGGGCCCAAGTGGTTCTCTCAACACTCCACCCCATTCCAGTCTTCCACCATTCAAACTCCTCTGGGTTAAGAGTTCCACCTTCCTAACCTTCCTAAGACCTGGAAGGATGCCATGCTCTGGTGACTTTGCAGCAAATCCCACTGCTTGACCTCTGCAGTCCTGTGTGCACATGATGGGGACTTCAAAACCAGGTCCACTTAAAAGTGACCTTCTGCTGAGGTCCACTGTGCTGGCCCACCCTGGAGCTCCCTCCCAGCTGAGGCCTCCATTCTGCACCAGTCCTCCTTTGAGAGAACCCCAGACTCAGCCAGGGCACTTCTGCCCCTGGGCTGGAGATCAGGACCTCCCAGTGCCACCCGAGAGCAGCAGGGGCTGAGAAGAACCCTAGTCTGCTGTTTCACGTTGGAGGCTCACTTATATAATTGCACGAATATTTGGGCTAGCAGCTGTTACCCCATTTCTTGGTGGAAAGTAGGGTGGCCTCACACATGATTTTCCCAAGATTCAGAAGAAATTCTAACATGTCGTACTACAACAAAGAACACATTTGGGGTGAAGGGGACACCTTCAGTTCTTACCCTCGGGCCAAAGTCTCCTGGTGCACCCTGGGAACAGAAAGTAGAGGTCTGTCACCACGTGATTATTTATTACATGCACTGAGGATCGGTTGCTAGTGCTTCACACACATGGTCTCACTTAGTTCTAACAAAAACAACAGGTCAGCCCTGCCCTACTTTGAACTCCATTTTACAATGGGGAAACTCAAGCTCAGAGAAGTTAAGTGACCTGCCCAATGTCACACATCCAGAAGACTCAGGGCTTGAAGCCAAGTGCTTTATCTATTGCCAGCTCTTAGTCACTACTGGTCCCAGATATGGTCACAGATATGGACACAAGCTCCCACTGTGTCCTTTCTGAATTCCTGAGCCTCAGGACACTGAGGCTGACCAGTGTCTTGAACCAGGAAGCTTAGATCATGTGTTAGGCATCAACGGATATGAAGACCAAGATTCTCTTTGGTTCCAATGACCTTCAGCGTTTCATGACCAGGGGTTTCAGCCAGGACCACTAAGAAGGTCTTCATTCTATGAGCACCTGCACAAAGGGCCCAGGTGATGTAGTATATGCGGGGTTGTGTTTCTAAGCAAAGGCTATGAACCTTTGGGGGTTCGAATCTACCAGCCCCTGTCCAGAAGGAAGATAGGCAGTCTCCTCCCATTAAGATTTACAACAACGGAAACGTGACGGAGGGCCACTGTGAGTCGGAATCGACTTGGTGGCAGTGAATGTTTGCCCAAGAATGTTCTTCTACAAAGAGGACTCAAGCCAGCCCCTCATGGAACCTCCACTGTGGCTGTGTGAGGCTTGTTTTAATGTAAAGATGGGGAAACTGAGGCCCGTGAAGGTGAGGCAATAGCCTGAGGCCACATTGTTGGCAGTAAGGGCCAGAGGGCAGACCTGAGACTCTGAACACTAAATGTGGTGTGCTGGGACCCTGCCTAACTTACCCACCCAGGCCATATCCCAAAAGGCTTTCCCACCCACAATCCTCCTCGTCCCGTTTCCAAATCTGAGACCTTGCTTGGAAGTGCCCGGATGACCTGCTGCACCAAGCGCAGCTTCAGTTCGTGGGAATGAGTGTCCCTCCCTCCTGACCTCCCTGTGGGACACACAGGTCTTTTTTCTTTCTTGATTTTTCTGGGATTGTTAACTGTCCAAGCCTTCCAGAGGGCTGTCCGTGACACTGAGTGACGAATGTCACAAGGGTCTTCAAAGATCTAAATGGCAGCTGTCTGCCATCTCTTACCCTAAGGTGCTCTCCTCACAAAGAACACTGTTCTCTCTCATGGTAAATCCTCTAGGCTCTCCTGGTGCCCAGTCCATAACTGATTCTTTGGAAACTTATCATTCAAACAGACTATGCCTTTTGAGTTTTATCACACGCCAGTGGCAGGAGAACTCAGATTCTAGGTACTTTATAATCAGATGAACACATATAACCATTTTAGAGGTAATGTCACAATTAGTGGGGTCACAATTAGTTTCATTTTACAGACCAGGAAACTGAGGCTTTAAAAGGGAATGCGGCTTGCCCAAGGTGGACCTGAAGGCAGTTGCTGACATCTTTCGTTAGCTGACTGCACCTGGACAGGCTCCACCATCCCTTACCTTTTCCCCTTTAAGGCCTGGAAGTCCCTGGAGAAGGAAGATGGAGAAAACACAGGTATTAGTAAGGGGGATGAGGCAGGTTCCCCTGGCAGCTCCCCCAAGGTTTGGAGGGCAGAAGGGCCTAGAAAGCTGAGCAGAGCTGTGTCTACTAGGAAAGTTACACACAAGCCTAGAAGGCCCAGAGGCAAGTCCACAGCCCAGTTCCTTGCACTAGTGAGACAGGGAACCTGGGGAGTCCCCAACAAGGACACCCTGGCATCATCTCAGCAAGGGAAGAGGCATTTTCTCAGTTATCACACATTCTAGTTAGTCACTCTTCCTCCGACAGTAGCCGCCTCCTACTCTTATGTATATGTTCCACGAGCCCACACATGAGTTCTGGGTGAGTGGACTGAGCTTCTGTCTGGAGGCTCGTTCCTTCTACTAGGGCAGCAGCCCCTTGGAGACGGTGTGTGTGTGTGTGCGTGTGTGTGTGTGTGTGTGTGTAGGGGGAGTGGTCACATGGTGGCTACAGTCACTCTGGCTATAGGGAAATGTATGTCTCTCATTCTAACCTTGTGCTCTCGGTTTTGGGACGAAGGTCGGGCTCTGGTGTTGGGGCAGATTGGCTTGGGGCTGACAGCATGGGGGATGATCTGCTTGCTGATCTTTCCAAAATTATCTACTTCTCTAGCCAGTAATTTATCTGCTCAATCGCTCATTAAACAACTCAACTGTCCAGGTAACCAGTCCTTTATGCGCTTCCTTTAATGATTCATACATCATCAATCACTACTCCAATCATTTATCAATTAGCTCATTTCTTCACTCACTTGTCTACCTAACCACCATCCACCCCTCTCTTTTGTGTATTCAGTTGTCTGTATAATTATTAATCCTTTATTTGTTCATTCACCTGTCTTTATACTTATCAACCTTCCTGCCTGTTCATCCATCCATCCATCCATCCATCCATCCATCCATCCTCTATCTGCTCATCTATCTGTATACCCATCCACATCTGTCCATCCATCCATCCAGCCATCCTTTGAACCACCCATTCATGTATCGATCAATCCATTTATCGACCAATCCATGCATGTTCAATTACTCAGCTCTGCTTATTCCTTCCCAGTTGTAAAACAGGTTTGGAAGCAGGAGTGGCATCCACTTCCTAAACCACATGCCTCTGGAAGCTATGAACTTGGAGAGATGGTGATAGTTATGGAAAGCCATTAGGTCTTTTGTTCATAGAGTCGCTATGAGTCGTGCTCGACCTGTGCAATCAACAACAGACAACAACATGTCTTATTCAATCTACTGAGCATGCTTGTGGACCAAAGGCTCGTGGTGCAGGTGTTGGGAAGTCTCTAGCCTAGCACCTACCATTCACATCTCAAGCATGTTCTGAGAGACTCTCCCCATGGGGCTTGCTGGGAGGGATTCTTGATTTCTGAGGTTTGACTAGATTCCAGGGACCCCGTTGCCACTGTCCTTTATGAGCCCCACAACATCCCTTTGAACAAGGCCTGCTTCACAGGTGAAGAGCCTCAGGGTTAGGAGTTGAGTGGTCTGCCCCAGCCATGCAGTCAGGAAGTAGTGGAACTAGATTTGAACTCAGATTTGTCTGCAGAGGCCCCTTCCCGCTGGCGCCATGTGGTCCCTTCCCTGATAGTGGCTGTCCCATCCTAGAACACCCCAGAATCACTTACAGGTTTGCCATCCAGACCTAAAGGCCCCTGGAAAGGAGAGAGAGAGAGAGCAAAGGTCACATGTGGAGCAGCATTTTCTCAACATTTAATGACATAGATGCTTTTGTGTTGACAGATAAATAAGGTCTGGTTTGAGTCAAGGGTTCTGCCTGTGTTTCATGTGGGCTCAGATGGGGGGACATCTGTGTATTGTTTGCCTCCCAGAATCCCCTCCTCTGACAACAAAGCTCGTTCTTCTCTGGAGACCACCTCCCATCTCAGCCCACGAGTGTAGGTGAGGTTGACCCACCTGGGGCTCCAGGGCGGGCACAGGACCAGGCTCCCTGCACTGGCCAGCTGCCGGCTCAGGGCTCTGTGTGTGTCCCACTGAGCCTGGGACTTCCAGTGTGCTGCTTCAGGGGAATGGGTCCCTGGAGCTTGGGGGGCCATGGCATGATTTGAGAAGGAGTTAGCAGAGAGGAAAGCAAAGCTAAGCCAGCCGAGAGAAAGGCAGGGCCTTTAGCCCCAGGTGGGAACTATCTCTGCTTCCCTTGGACTGGAGCTAATACAAGTCTTCCTTTAAAGCCACTTGAACTGATCTCTTCTCGCTGGTAGCTGGGGAGCTCTGAGGACACATACCTCTTCAGTTCTCTGCATTGCTGCACTTTTTGCAGGGACAGAGAAGTCACATAACACAAGGGCATCTCAGGGACTGCTGGAGAGTCCCTGACCACTGACCAGGGTCCCTCATGGGCACACCTTCATTTTCTCATCCATAAGTTCATCTCACAAAGCTTTCTGAGTCCCACCTCGTGGAGAATGCAATGGGCGATCCTGCTGGCTAGGCCTCTCTGGTTTCTGTCAACCCACCTCTTGTTCTGTTACCTTCCCCTCACTTGCACACACCTTATTCTGGCCCCCAGAAAACACTCCAGGCAGCCCAGTCTAAGAGTTTGTACACCCAGCTCATCTGCAGGCACCCCTTCCTGTCTTTGGGCACCTTCAAGGCATTACACCCTCGTTCATTGCTTCCTCATTCCCCAGAATCAGGCCATCTGTTCTTGTGCCCAGTACATATTCTAATGTTTTCACAAGTAACACAGTATATCGGAACTTGCAGTGCACAAAAGTCTTCACCACTGGGGGTCATATAAAGGGTCTGATTGGTGCCCCTGGGACTCCAGAGCGTGGTGCACTGAGCCAAAGCAGAGATCTGGAGCCAGGAAGAGTCTGAACGCAAACACAGTGATGCTGGGAAGGTGAGCTAGTGGCTGTAAGGGGTCTGCTGGCTCACAGCAAAGAGTATGCATGTCCAGATTTGGGGCTGGCAAAGATTAGGGAGCTGCCTTGAGAAAGCAACAGTGGACAAATACTGCCTAATGCCACTATTATAAAACAGCACTGACATGGGGGTCGGGGGAAACTAAGAGAAGAGGGGATAAATAATGAACACTGCATTGGGACACATGAAGGAAAGAAGTGTTTAAAAGGAATATGTAATTATGCATTGTTTGTATGACAACAGTGCATGATATGAGGTGCATAGCAAAGTGGACTGGGTGGGGGAGAAATTATGCAACAATGAATGAATTTTTTTTAAAATTAAACTGGGAGTAGGAAGGAAAATGCACAATGAATAAATGAAAATAATCCAACTTTTCTTTATAATCATAATAAAAAAATGAAGAAGAAAGCAATAGTAGGAGATTTGGACAGAAAAGCAGTGTGTGTGCATGTGTATATGTATGCATGCGTGCAAACACATTTCAGACTGAGGGAAGAGTCCAGGGTAAGGCCAGTGAGCAGAAGTGCAGTTAGTCCACACATCTCTTGCTATCTCCCCATCCCAGCCCATTCTCTCTCCCCCTCAGCTTTCACGGGACATGGACTGTCCTCACACACTGTGACTCCAGTGGCCCAGTGCTGGCACCTTCACAACCAGGGCCGGCCTCTGGCATCCAGCCACCCTGTGCTGCTGTCCTTCTCCACGCCGACTCCTTTCCCACACCTACTTGTGTTGGTCCCTCTGTTTGCAGGGCCCTTTCCTTGTATGGGAAGCTGGTGAAGCCCTGGAGACAGCCTGTCCTGCAGCTGGTCTCTCCTTTCAAGGCTCCAGATGCCAGGTCAGGTGGTAAACTGCCAGTGCCCTTGACTTGAACCAAACAGAGCCTTTAATCTACCAAATATCCAGACTACATGTGAATGGCTATTGATGGTGGTGGTGGGGGTGGGCTCCAGGCCAGGGCCTGACTGCAGGGAATTAAGGGATTCTGAAAAGCAGTCTTGAGGGCTTCCAGCCAGCAGCCTTGTATTTGTCTGGAGGCCTGATTGTTAGATAATAGCCTTAAGGTCAGGTGAGTGATCTGAGAGGAAGAGTGAGGCTGTTTCAGCAGGTCATCCCCCAATATGAGTGTCTCGGTCCTGGCCACAAATCCTGGTGCTCGTCCCATCGTTTGAGGGACCTATCACAGCTTCTAGACCATTTACCATCTCAACTGTCATGACTCATACAAGCCCAGTGACATTTTGGGTCTTCTCTGGGGACTCTCTGTGGTACCTGCACTTAGGATTTAATCACTATAGTGAGCCTGTAAGTAAGGCGTTATTCCCATTTTACAGGGAGAGAAACTGAGGCTGGAAGAGAGAGAGTTTACCTAGGGCCACGTAGCTGAAACAGGCCTGGCAGTCCTCCAGGCTCTTTGCATTTTAACAGCGGTCATCGCTTCTGTGTAGAAGCATCTCTAGTCCAATCTTCCACCTCAATTCTGCCCCCCTCCCATGACTGTTCACTGTCCTTCCTGCTTCTCACAGTCACTGCCCACAGACTGCACCCCTCAGCAGGCAAAGCACATAGGCCTCTGTGCCCCTGCATGTCTGGCCCTGCATGTGTGGCAAACTCATGGAACTGAACCAAGAGGCAGTTGTAGATGTCATCCTATATAGAAACCTGCACAGACCAAATACAGATATACTGCAAACCATGAAAGAAACTAAAGTACAACTTAATGAAGAATAAGTCTTTTCCTCTTTAATTGAGATTTCCCCCCCCCCCCATTTTATTGGTTTTTGTGCATGTACCGTCAAATCAGATCTGACTGGTACAGGAGGAAATTATCCCTCCTTCTCCGGCAGAGCATCTGGTGGACTTGAACCGTGTACCTTTGGGATTGCAGTACAGCTTCTTGTCACTAGGCCACCAGAGCTGCCCACCTCTTGATGTACAAGAAGGGGGCCACAGTGGGGCTAGCAGGGACTGGAAATGAGAGCTGGCTTCAGACCCTGGACAGCCTAATACATTAAAGGTGACTGTGCTAAAGTCCAGGGCACAAAGGCCAAGTTCAGGGGAGTCAGCCCTAACCTTGAAACCACAGAGGGAGAAGAATCCCCAGGACTGTCCACCACTAAGTCCTGGCTCCTGTCTGTCCTGGCAGTGGTCCTGGGAGCAGGCCTGGCCGGTGAAGGAGCTGAGCCACTGGGCTCATGCAAGGGCTGGAATGCGTGTGTTCTCTGCCCATGCTCGGGAGCTGAGGTGATGGATGGAGGCCTGGGACACCTGGGTTAGCACCTCACAGGCCTTGCCTTTCTCTAGAACTTTCTGATGCCTGTCTCCATCACTGGGCAGACCCTTCCAGAATAGGCTCTTTGGACTCTCTCTCACTCTGACCCTGTGTCAGAGATGGAGTGGTGCTGGGTCAGACACTTGCTGAGCCAGGCAGTCAGTCTCTCTGAGTCCTAGCATGTTCCTCAGTAAAACAGAGAAAGAAGCCTACCAGGTACCCATCCCAACCCTGTATCATCTCCTCAGAGCACAGATCTGTAGTGTCTGTTCTCGGGGCTGGACACCTGCTGGGTTCTGGCCGAGGTTAGGGGTGTCAGCATGGTTGATGCAAAGCCTTCAGTGCCCTAGATAATGTGCTTTTCAAATTTATCTGCTGCAGAAGGAAGTCAGGATGTTCCTTCGGCCATAGCCCCTGAGGGCCCAGTGCTGACGGCTGTTCCTGAAAAGTGTGCTGACCGCCAGGCCCTGGCTGCGCCTTCCCGAGAGTGACCTCGCCTCTGCCCGCTCTGAGCTCGCCTCTGGTGGCTCATTTATGGGATAATCTTGGTCTCGAGACCTCTTTCTGGTGTGTGAAATGTCCCACCCCCGGTACAGAAAAAATTTTTGGCAGGCCACAGCATTGGAAATAGTCTTTATCAATATTGTGATTCAAATACATCAGTTTTTCTGTCTTCTTGGGATCACAAGGCTCCCAGGACTTTTAAAAAGACAAGCAAATGTCTTAGCTTTCAAATGATGGCAAAGGATGCCGTGTGAGCAGCATTCTTGGGAATGTCCACAGCTGAGCTGAAGGCAAGGTCATTTCCATTTCTGGGGATTCCACGCTCAAGCCACGTGCAGATCCACGAGTGGATCCCATCGACAGCACAGAAAACCCAGTGCAGATATTTGCAGGCAGCCTGTTCAGGAGCAGTTCTAATATCCATTCCTTTGTATGGGCTAGTTGGTTGGGCTGTTAATCCCCCTTTTTTTTTTAAAGTTTTTAATTTTAATTGTGATTTTAACAAATGTTTACAGAAAAGTTGGATTTTTTTTACTCATTCATTGTTACACTTTTTCCTCCTTCTCCCTCCCTTCCCCCACTCACAGTTCACTTTCTTTCTTTTTTTTAAAATATTCATTCATTGTGACCCAATTTCCTTCCTCCCTTTTTGCTTGACATACTAAGTATCTCTAAGTGGGGGTTTCACACAATGATGTCTTGCAGGGGGTTTGCCCAGGAAAAAGAACTCTATGATCAAGTAAGTTTGAACAACACTAAGTCAAACTATGCAAAATAAGTGGGTTTCTTTCCTGTAGAACTTGTCGGATGGAGCCTTCACTAAACTCTGTGGCTCTCGAAGGCTCATTTGACTCTACAGTTAAATGCTGAGCTAATTGTTAAAAGCACTGTTGTTTCCTCAAGTTGCTATAATTAAGTACCACACACAAGGTGACATAAGACAACAGGAATCTATTGTGCTGGACACCAGAAGGCCAAAATCAGAGT